TAAAACACAGATTTTTTCCACCAATTCCAATAGGCGGGTGGTTTTGCACACCATATCTAATAGGTGGGGATTTTGTGCCAATCAGCCTTAACTTAATATTAATAAAACTTGTCAATTAAAATTAGAAAACGTTTCAAAATGGGAAATCAGGTACAAAGGCATTATTCTTTTGAGAGCCAATTCATAAGCCTCACTATAGACAAAAAACCAAACAAATATACTAAAATGCAAAACAAGTAATTTATATCCGAAGCAATCTTCAACATTCATAATGAATCAATATGTAATGCGCGCAAACACACAAAATAAAACTCAATGAAGTAACAAACTTACATTTTATCAACTTTTATTAAAATCTACAAAATCTCATCACAAAAGCTGTCACACAATCCCTTACATTTAATGTCAATTATACCCTTTTATGTTAAAAAATTGCATATGCCATTTTGATGGTGCACAACTTTTAAGGAAAATATTGAAAGCTTCCAAAAGAATTCATTTACATGCACAAATTTAAGACAAATCTTGAAAGCTTTCAAAGAAGATTCATTTCCGGAAACAATTGGTGGTATGTTAGGCAACTCTAATTGTCTCAAAAAACAGATCTAACTGTCTCGAAAGATGGGAGACAATTTGAACTATCTTCGGGAGACCTTTCGACTAATCAATCGTTTTAACCATCCAACTCAGACAGTTGATATTATCTTGATTAGTCAAATATCTTTAAATAACTTTCTAGTGTACCACCAAACTATCTTGCAAAATGAATTTTATCTTGAAAACTTTTAAGATTTACCTCAAAAGTTGTGAACCTACCAAGTAATGATTAGGTTTTATGGGAATTTGTAACATTAAAGTGTATTTGATTAGCTTTATTTATCATGAAAAATGTCATTATACCTGCTGAGTGCCTACTTTTAAGGAGTTTGACATTTTTTTCATGAAAAATATTTTTCAAAAATTGGTCATGTAACTATGTTTTCCTTGAAAACAAGGAAAACATTTCTTTAATAGAGGTTGGTTTTTATTTTTCAGGCAATTCATACCCTCTCGTCTATACCTCCTCATTTACCCACTAACAAAATATGGAAAATGACATTATTTTCTAGGTTGAAAATTGAGCCAATTAAACACATTATGCAAGTTTCATGCTTGCAATCAAACACACCGTAAGAATATTTTTGATACTTTCATTTAAAATTAACTAATTTACACAAAAAGTGGCCATTTACTCGAAAGGACATTTTGCAGTGGCCATTTAGTGGTATTTCCCTAATAGAAATTGGGCAATTTTTTTAATTTTTAAAATATAAATGAAATGAATACGGCTATCCCCAGTTGGGGGCTGATTTTCAGCCATGTCCGCACCCGTGGACCAGATTAAGCAGGGAATCCCTGCCTCGTTCAGATTTCCATGGGGATCATGTCGCTGCCCGGGGGGGAGGGGGGGTCCATCCCTACCTGATGTACATGTGGAAGTTACATGGACGTATAACTGTACTTGTATTCTAAAGGCAATTGCATAATGAAGGAACAAGCGTTATACATCAGCTTAAGTTCCCTGTCAGTTTTCCTAATAACAAGAGCTATTTCCCTTTAATTTTATTTGTTTAAATCAAACCCATTTCATCCTTCTCTTTTTCACATTTTTTCTAACTATACGCAGGCGGATCAATTGTTTTGTGCCTATACATAATACACATTCGTAAACTGTCATTCTAGTACTTTCTATCTTATGCTCCATACGCATCCATAAAGCTATTAAGGACACTCAATGCGAAGAATTCTACCTTCAACTTCTTTCTTTTTGAGAACTTGATGTTGTTTTCCGATTTCTATGTTATAAGCCACTGCCTCTATTTTTCTATTAAAGAGAAAATTAGACAGTGAATTTCATTTAATCACACATTGATTTCTAACAAACTAAATAAATTCTTTTATGATAACATAAGCATAACCCCTGCATGAACGGGCTTATAAGTAAGATAACTAAGAGAACCCACCAGGATTCAGAGAACTTGATGGTCTGCCTTCGCTCCTCTCAGCCTTTATTGAAGCAATAACAGAAACTGCAGCTGGCCCCAAACCTTTTCTCCCAATGAGTTTAACTCCAAGCGTCACGCAAAGGTAATTCAGCCTCATTGCATCACCCCCTCTCACCTCTCTCAGATCCAGAGCTTGCTGTTTAGATAACAGGGTATAAAGATGAAACTCCTGCTGCCGATTAAAATGCCGATGAAGATGCTCAAAAGGTAATCGGTTAGAATGCTGCTGATCAGTCTTTTTTCTTGACACACTAAATGAGACCCTTAAAATTGCCGTTGAATCAAAATTTTTTCTACCAAAAATTATAGAATAGCTACCAAATTCCAGATCAGGGTCCCTGAATAAACCTGCAAGAACAGAAACACAAACATATGCATTATTTGATGGATTTTCCTGCATTTTTACATTCTCAGCTCTAGCTTTAGCACAATTCGCCATGTTGGCAGCTTCTCTGAACCCACTAAGGAAAGCACCATGCATAGTTGCAGGATAGAGCTTGCTTGTAGCTTCGCCAGCAAAGAAAAGCCTCCCTTCTCCCACGCTTTCTGCAATAATATCATAATCATCTCCTGATGCACCAACTGCAACATTAGAGTAAGAGCCCAAGCAAAAGGGATCAGTGCCCCATCTTGTACAGACAGTTTGGATAGGGTCTGGAACTTTAATTCCTTGTGGTTCATAGATGTCTGCATTGAAATATACTTTATCATGTTGAAGCAGTCATCAAGTACAGTTATATTATTAAATGCATTAGAGGATTCATTCCTTGAAACATCCAATTTTGGCTTCACCGATATAAATATATTCTAAAAAATAGTCCTTCCATCTCAATTTCCTTGCCAAAAATTTTTCTTTCCTTTACCCTGGAGAAGATATCCATTATATCAAACTCTCATGAAAAGTATATGGTGATTTAGTTTCCATTTCTACAACTGACCATTTAAAATGAAAGAAGCTCATTAAAATTTAAATTTACAAAGATAAGCTCAAAAAATTGATAGTTCGGAAACCTAGCTATCCAATGATTAAGTTTTAGTGCCTAAAATATCAAGATAAGATACCATGGTAGCTGACCTTTATTAGATCACCATGAGTTCTTGGTGAATGGAGGCCAAGCATTTGGAAAAGATGGAATATATAGGTGAAATGGAGCCCTAAGCACGAATACAAAAGATAAAAGAGATTCTTTCTTTAACTAGCGTGTATAAAATAGCAAGGAAAAGTGAATGGTAGTAAACTCTGAGAAAGCATCCAGTGAATACTGAGCACAATTCAATTTGCATAAAAAGACAAACAGCAATACATCACCATTTTACTAGTGTAAATAAAGTCAATGCACATGTACCTTTAAGAATCTGAAGCACCTTCTCCACGGCATCTGGAAGGGGCATGGTCTCAAACTTGAGAGCAGCTTCTCCTGCTACTAAAGCAATCAAGACAGGACCACCAGCTACAGTTGCATAGCTGTAGAAAAGAAAGAACTCCCCACGGGAGCTAGGATCATCAGTGAGATGCCCAAATGTATCAAGATCAGGGCCCCAAAAGACTTCCGGAAATAGCATCACAACCTTGTTTAACAGGCCAAATCCCAACCTCTTTATTGCATCAAGCTTCCTCTGGGGCAACTCGGGGACAAACTTGATGGAACCACTTTTCAAAACCCCAAGTGGAACAGTGCAAAGAGCCATATCACACTCATAAACCTGATTCCCAGAAAAAACCTGCACTCCATCACTGCTATAATTAATAGCTTGCACAGTTTTCTCGTAAAGAATTGGAACATTATCCACCAATGCTTCAACCAGTCTTCCATTTCCTCCAGTGAGAAAGCAGTGCTCCCCTCCCATATCATATTGATCGTCTTGATCCCAAAATGCAAGTGATATTTTCGAAATCAAACCTGCATTTGCATATTCCAAGTTTGCAAGATGCCAATGGAACAATTTCATCTCTTCTTCACTAGCGACATCCCCACTGACCTGCCAAAATGACTCCAATGCAGCCCCAAGAGAAACAACCTGTGAAACGTCTCCCATCAAATTCCTCAGTATGCTTACCTTATCCAAAAGTTGATTATAAGCATTCTCCATTTTGTCATCCAAAATAGGGTCCACAGGTTTCCCGTCCACTCTGTAAAGCGGACACCTAACCCTCACTTTATGAAGTGTATATGACAACTGCCTTGCCAAAATCCCAAGTGGATTTCCCAATGTACTTGTCAACACACTCCCGCCCAAGTCCGCAGCTGCCATCATATTCTTACCCTCCAACTTCTTCGAGTAAACCCTGCCACCTGCACGCTTCCTCCCTTCCAAAACGGTCACCTTAAATCCGAAAGTCATCAACTGCCTTGCAGCAGCCAATCCGGCAAGCCCGGCCCCTATCACAATCACACTTCGCTTACTTGGTTTCAATGGAATTCTCTCCTTTATTGCAGGTGCCACCCCAAAATTAATATACCCATGCAAAACCAAGAAATCATATGCAGAGTCCAAAAGTGCCCGACAATGTTTTGGAATACAATCCACAAACATATCCTTAGTCAGCCATTTGGACAAGTTATCACGCCACCTAGAAATTATATGATTCCTAATCAATATATAATTATCCTGCTCTATTCCGCCCACAACTTTAACCACCTCAGCATCTACTTCTTCGCCAATAAGTGAATCGCCTGGAAACCCTGCAGTCAAGGCTATTGAGGCCTCCGCTTGGATCAAACGTCTGGATCTAGACAGCCTAGACATCTTGGCTGTACGAAATCCGAATGTCCCAATTTGGATCTGGGCCGTCTGGATCCAAACGGCCCCTTTGTCTTCGCCACTTGCGTTGGCAGAGATCGTCGGAAATTGTGGTCTCATCCCTAAAGTGAAATTTTTTTAGCCAATATCCTCAATTTCATGCACAATTATGATCTACAAAAATTTCTACAGAGATTATTAAACAAATGAACAAACAACGTGCTTTATGTATTCAATAAATGGTATCTAAAGTTTTGAAACTAAATTTTTTCAGAATCTTCGCTCTGGATCGTCAGTTTCTTGACGGTGTGGGTCGATGATAACTATCAGTGTTTTTAGACGTCTCTCTCTTCAAAATGATGTGAGGGTATAAATGACCATTTGATGTTTTTTATGATTTGAATAATTTTTCTCTTTTTAATCTAATGGTCAACGGCCTTTTTGAAAAAATGGTCGGGTCCACTATTTCTTCCCAAGGAAAACGGTGGGGAATTAAGGGACCGTTTAGATTGCCACGAAGCTTTTAGGGTCGGGCGGGCCCATCTTGAGGTGTTTTTTTTTTTTTTTTCCCCTCATGTAACTTCGACTTTTATTGACTATGATCAATTCTAAAATAAATAAATTTCTATTTGTCAAAGTTAAAAACTAAAAAATAATTAACGTTGTTAATATCGGATTTAAGCCAACATGAATTATGCTAAGTGTACATTTCATGGATTACATCTTTATGTACATTTGGTAGAAATTCAAAAAATGGTAGATAGAAAAGTTTTTTTTTCTTTTAAACTGTTCAATCATGCATCCTCCCGTGACACAATATCAAAAATGATATAATAAAAAATGAACATGTAACATGATTGTAAACACATTGAGTTCCCAAGAGATATTCATGCAGGAACGTTTGATTTTCTTAATGAAAAAACTCGAATTCATTTGAATTAAGGATCTGTTTGATAGTAAAGGTGGAAAAGGCAAACTAATTCCATGTAAAAAAAAACAAAAAACAAAAACGTTAGAATTCGATTTCCATGAAATTGGCCAAAAACATGCTTTAAATGTTTATACTTAGAATTTGAATTTCACTTTTACTTTCATATCAGACAGTCAAAATAGAAAATGAATTTCTCGAATGTGACATTTTTCATGGAATATGATGCTATCAAATGAACCCTAAATTGACTCCTTCACTCATTTTCTTGATTTTGACTTTATGATTGTTAATCCTCCCCCTTCTAAAATGGAGATCATCGCAAATGTTAAAAGCAGCAAGGGCATCTTCAATAAGATGAAAACTGAATAAATAATAAACAATATTAAGCAAAAAAAAAAAAAAAGTTAAAACCTTATTCATTGTACCATTCAATCATATCCGTCCCAATCTTATTATCAGTAACAAACAATAATATAATTTTTGGTCGGATTACTATGAAATACATGAAAAACAGGAGCCTAAAATGTACAACTTCAGCTACACAAGTTCATGGATTGCAAATACCTTCCATAAATTCAGACTTCACAGTTTCAAGTTCTCCTCCTCGTTGCTACATCAACTTGTAAGACAATTCTATTATCTACAAGAACCCTTATCGTACATGTAGGGAAGTACGTCTGGTAAAATGCGGGTGGTCAAAAACTCTATTCAGAAACCCACTGGACATTAGCTCCACCAAAATATAATTTTGGAAGAATTTGAAACCCATCAAAATTTCAAATCCAGAATTCATGGTTAGATGAACTATAGGCAACTCCTACCTAAAAAAATATATTTGCCAAAATCATCGACTGTCTCTGAGTTGTTCGTGTGACCTCAGAAATTTTTCGAACATCTATTTGATACCGAGTTCCTTAGCTCTTATAACCAAGTGCCCTGAGATTAGATGGGCTTAATTCAACATGCTTCCCAAGCCTGTGACAGATGAGACAAGAAACAATAGAAGGCATCATCCAAATGAGACTATTGCAGAAACACAGGTATAAACTGCTTTTAGAAATTATTTTACTATTTTTAGAATTGAAATTTTCTTGAACCATGGTGCAGTTTACCATGTGAAATCCACAAATAGGTGTGGTAATATTCCATGACAGTAAATGATACTGCCAAATATAGATTTTTAAGAAAAAAAAAGGGGCAAGTTTTTTCCAGTGTTGAATTTCATATTAACACGACTATAAAACTTACGCAAGACCAGATGGAAGCCTAAAACCAGCAATTCGTACACGCTTCAATGCATGAATCTGAAACAAGGACAAATCAGTTTTTACCTTACATTATAATGTAATTCACTTTTCAGAAAAGAAATTAGACGTGGGTAAATACACAAAATTCAGGGAACAAAAACAAGGTAAATAATAATGACAACCAAATGGCTGAGCTACACCCACATAATCAAGCACATATGAAACATCATATGGCAAAAGCAAGCTGAAAATCTCATATTACCTGAAGTCCAGCATTTTTAACAAGTTCCCGCACTTCATGGTTTCTTCCCTGATGAATCTGCACCAATTAAGCAACTACAGTTTAATTTTTCCTTTTTCCAATCATGTGCTTGGAATGTATTACTGTAAACTTGCATATGCTTGGAATTTTAAGAAATAGGTATTGAACATGAACTACAAGAGGCCGGAATAGGTAAATAGACAAGTTCAGCTGCCAGCATTTATGAAAGGGATACATACATACTTGTATAGTATAGACGCATACAATTACTGGTTATATATAATGCCATTTACCAGGACAAATTCTCAATTCCTGCCATTTCCACTCAATTTTCCTAGAAGCTTTTCGCTCAAGCTTTAATGGAAGTCAAATCCATTTAGACGAGAATCGATGCATAATGTTCCAATTACATACAACAGATCGGAAAAACAATTCTCAGTCAAAAAGAAATCAAGGTTTTAGCACGAGGAACGCAAACGGCCATCGAGTGTTGGCCAACTCAGAATTCCTGGAAATCGATTATGCTCGTTTAGTTATTTTGGTCTTATGCGTCATCTTGGACATTCAATCTGACTTTCTTTTCCTGGAATGCTACTCGAGCTGCTGAATAAACTCCAGCCGGGAAGTCTAAAGGACCAAATCATTACAAAATAATCGTTGGGACACTAGCTGCAGATTCTACCCCAAGGAAAAGTAAAAAAGATAAAAAAAATGGAGTAATTGGGAATAGAATAATACCACAATCCGGAGTCTAGATCTCAAAATATCTGGCTGCTGTGGTAGTAGCTCCACTACATCAGGGGTGCAATGGACGCCATCTACGACTGTTCCCTCACTGAGAGCAAGTAAGTGCCGCTTATTGACAGCACCATCAATAGTTGCAATATACCTGCCAGCCACAAATTTGAAAGTGTCAAAACCAGAGCATGGGTCAGCACCACATCATTCAACCACCCTAATTCTTAAGCCATAACAATAAATCATTAAAGTATGCATGTTGTCTTGAAAAATTTAAATAAGCAAGTGTTAAGTCAATTAATCTAGTGAAATACAAGTCTAGTATTGCAGCAAGCTAGCATTATTAGTTCAGCAAGTAAAATAAAAGCAGTAACTATTAACAAATCATTAGCTATGACAGAGTTTTGAAATATCATTCACAAAATGTATTTCTAAGTAATTGCCCCTTAAAAAAATACTACACAGTACGTGAATTTTCAGTCCATGTCCGAGAAGAGCCGAAAAGCATACGGAAATAAGAAGAGAATGGAAAAGTGGTCCTTACTCTTTTGATAAATTGGATGAAGGATGTGAAAGCTTATGTGCGAATTCTCCTGTAACAGCATACAAACAGATAAATATGCATGGATTTCTTCCCCAAAGTAAACTTAATAAACATAGTATCCATCCGTTACAAACACCAGAGATATATATACCATCATTTGTAACAATGATCAACCCAGTTGTGGCAACATCAAGGCGACCAACTGTAAAGAGTCGTGGCTTTGGAACTCCGGGATTCCGTTTATTCTGAAAAAATGTATAAGAAATTATAAGGTTTCAAGAAATATAGTTGCACAAGAAAATGCAAGCCTCCTCAAAGATGAAAAGTGGAGTAGGACAGTCCACCATACCCAACTTTTCATAAAATCATCAAATAGAGATATTACTGACTTGGTTTCCTTTTCTCCTGCTGAGCATATGTAACTGCAATAATTTACATTTTCACATCAAGTCCGCCACATATAATCAAGGCTATGATCCAGTGCAAAATTAAGAATATAATGAAAATGACAAACCCTTTTGGCTTGTTCAAAGCAAGATAAACCTTCGGAGGAAGTTTCTTGGCTAGTCGGCTTCCATTAACGTATATCACATCCTGGGCTGGATCAACTCTGGTCTGCTCAATCATCAAGAACAAATAAAGACATTGTTAACACATATACAATGATCTTAACAATCAGAAACTGTACAAGTTATGTGGTGTATAATAAAGTTATCCATAGCTTGCTCAGATAGATATAAATATATTTCATCAAATATATTACTAATCAATGGCAGTAAGGACCTGAGGCGCGTTGCAGACAGAGCCATTGACAGTGACCTTGCCTTGAAAAATCAGCTCTTCACTACTTCTCCTTGATGCCACTGTGAAAACTAACCACGTCATGCATATGCATAATTGAAGTGTGTGCATGCGCATGTAAAAATGTAACATCATCGTTTTCTTCACACTACTCTAGATATTTTTAAAACCAAGAAATTATCTACATCTTTAAAGCAAATAATGATGTGTCATTTAACCTCAAACTCATGATTAGTTAAGATTTTGATCATAGACATTGTGGCTTTCTCCAAATAAGTATCACATGACACTGTCACTTCTCTCTGGTGTCAAACGAGTTGACAATTTGTTGACAACATATCCAGGGAACTTTCATCTTGAAGGCACAATGCAAGTATACCGCTATATAAATGATACCCCAGGATGACGACCCTCACTACATTCTGTCATACACTCGTACTACTGTGACACAGATCATGAAGTCAGAAATCATTCCAAAGTATCACCAAAACTTCAATCTGATGATGCCAGAAATCTTGCAAAAGTCACGCAAATAACCCCCCATACAAGTTATTACATTTGAAGGTATATAAAATGGTTAGATTATCAGCATTTCGGTGCATTGTGTATATTTTCCCTGACTATATTTAAATTGTAATGTTCTAGAAAAGAATTTTCACATTAATTACTCTTTAGGAGTTGTTCACCGCAGTTTCCTTGTATGCAGTACTCTGTAAGCCGCTTCTTTAGTGAGGTAGAGTATTGAAAAATCAAAGGATTAAATTCAATGAGCTTTTCATCAAGCATGCATTTTCAACTGTCAACCAAAAAATTCCCACATTAGCACTATCCTAGATACCTTATTCATTTCTTAAGATGTAATAAGCGTTCTACTACTGAAACTTTAATAGGTCAATCAGCATAAGTAGAAATGTTAGAAATATATGTATTCGAACTAGGGAAGTACTACACATAAGCAATGTTGAAAAACTGTTAGGATCGTGTTTGGCTACACCTAAAAAGTAGTAAAAGTTATTTAAGTAGACAAAGTTACTTGTATTGAAAGCAACTCTTGCCTTGCTTTCAGAATAAGTAACTTTTATATTGAACTTTCACTAAAGAAAGATTATTTATTTCAATGGTACTTATATAAGCAAACTTTTTAAGCTTATCTGAACATGCAAACACTACGCTTGCAGCATGATAATATCTCTGCCAAGAAAATCCTATGATACTACAAAACTTTAGACCAATGTATGCACCAAAACACCATTTTGTACCAAAATGGTCAAGTAAAATTTTACCCTTCACTTTCACTTTGTAAAAAAATTGTTTAAGGGTATTTGTGTCCATTTTTGTTATACATTTTTTAATACAATAAATTATTATTATTATTATTTTGATCATTTGTAATAAATTTTAATAATGTAATCAACCACAATTAAGAAATTAATTAAAATAAGAATACTAAAAAATTTTGGGAGAGTAGCAAACACGATTATTTAAAGTTAAAAAGAAGTCATTGTACTTCGAAATGTATTAATTGATCATTCGTGGAATGAATATACAAATTCCGAGAATTAAATTGTAGCATTATTTCGACTTCCTAATATCATGCCGTCGGAATTTATTTATGGTGTTTCTATTAATTGTAATATATTTTTTAAAATTTTAAATGAATTTAATATTTTCGCTAATTTAAAGTAATTATTTATTTTGTAATTTATGTAGTTGTAAAATAAATAAATTTTCAAATAAAAATGTTCATTTGGTGTAATGGGCTGAAGATGATTTTTAGCCCTCGTTTGGGTCCCCATTTTGCGAAAATGAAAATGAGTGAAATAGTCTTTTTTTAAAAATGAGTGGTTGAAAAAGTTTAGAAGTATGGAAGATTGCGTGGATGAAAATAGAATGAAAAAAAAATGAAATGTAATGAAAATTAATGAGAGCCAAACGAAAACTAGTTTGTTGCAAAATTTGGTACAAAATGGTGCAAAACTTAACTCAAATTATTTTAGTGTTTCAAGATGGCCTAAGGGCATTTCCAACCATTGCACCATTTTTTGGTGCAACATTGCTCCAATGCAACACCAAACTTTGCACCATTTTGGTGCAAAATGTAAAATGTCATTTTTGCCCTTATTTAACATTTCCCAAATAAATTTGTTGAGGGTATTTATGTCATTTGTGCTATATATTTTTTAATACAATAAATTATTATTATTTGTATTTAAAATAAATTTTAAATGTAAGACATAATAATTAATAAATTAATCAAAAGACGAAAATAATTTAAAATACATCAAACATGATTATTTATTAAAGTTAACACGAAATATATTAAATAGCGACATGCATACGATAATCTACTTTTATTTTTAAAAAAAAATGCATAATTCAATAATCTGGAATATCACTTCCAGATCCTCCAAAATCGCTAAAATAATTTCCAAACAAACCAAATGAACTTTTAGATCCTTTATCTTCTTGTTGAGATCACTTTTGGCAAATTCTTGCTTATTCGTTTTGCAAGTACAAACGTATGTATGGATCTGTTATCGAACTCAAATATATCAAAAAAAATTTATTCTCCTCACAATATTCTATCATTCACAATTTTCTTTTTTGGATTTCGTAATTCTGTTATCTTTCCTCACTACCTTTTTTCATAATTTCGAGAATTTGTCGGTTCTCTTCTTTAATGGATGTAAGTAATTTTATACCTTCTTCATTTTTCCTTTTTTACCCCTAAGGGTCGTTATCGTCAACATTGTCTTCGTTTATATTAAGAGAAAACGAGGACAATTTAGGAGATGTTGAATGAGTTGACGTGTAGTCCTCCGATGACGAATCTGGTTGTAACGATACAATGTTAACACGGCTTTGCCTATGGTAGATTGCTTTGGCCGTGTTAACGTCATCTCCAAATTTTTTGGCATCTTTAAGCATAGGCTAGACATGATCAAATTTGAACCCTTTCTTATAATTTGGGTCTTCAGATAATAGCATTTTGGCTCGAAACATCTACGAAACAAAGACAACGTAACATTAATCTAACAGAAACTTAACATTTGGAAGCATATATTACGAATAATACTCACAATATCTTCCTCTGATGCACCACTTGGTTTCAAAAGTTCGACTTACCGAACGCATCCTTGCATTTTACCAATGGCTGCATTAATTACTTGTATTCGCTTCATTACAGATCCTTTCATCCTAATAAGAGTGATAAATGAAGGAAATGTGGTATTGTATCCATTCTCCACTCGGGACCAGAATTGCTCCCTTGATTGGCATATACCTACAATTGAATTTTGGAAGATATCAAGACAGACTTGACATAAGTGTACATCTTCTTCATGTGAGTATGAAGAAATTCGTAAAACAGAACTCATTTTTGAGGGGGGTTATTGAGAAGGGTAGATGATATTAACTTGGGAAGATTGAGAAATTGAAGGTAATGGTAAGCTAATTTATAGACAAAAGTGTAGGCATGATAAGATTTGATTATATATGGATCGAATAGTTGAGATCTTGACGTAATCCAATCCAATGACGGAGATGAATTTGTCTAGATATCCTATCTTCAATAGTGTACTATGAGATTTAATACTACATATGGATTGAACGGTTGAGATCTTGACGTAATCCAATCTAACGACGGAGATAAATTTGTCTATGTATCATATCTTCAATAGTGTACTATGATATTTAATATTATATATGGATCAAACGGCTGACATCTTGGGATCTTGGCGTAATCCAATCTAACGATGGAGATGAATTTGCCTAGATATTCTATCTTCAATGGTGTACTATGATATTTGATATTATAAATGGATTGAACGGTTGAGATACTTACTTAATCCAATCCAATGATGGAGATGAATTTGCCTAGATATCCTATCTTCAATAGTGTACTATGAGATTTGATATTATATATGGATTGAACGGTTGAGATCTATACGTAATCCAATCCAACGACGGAGATGAATTTACCTAGATATCTTATCTTCAACAGTGTACTATGAGATTTATTTAATTATTTCATAAATACATAAATTACTAAATAAATAATTACGTTAAATTACGGAAAAGATTAAATTCATTAATAAATATAAAAAACATAGAACAATTAATAAAAATACTACAACAATGAAAATATGAAATCATGCCATCAGAAAATAGTACAATGCATTTCGAATTTGGATAGACGATATTACGAAGTCGTTAAATTTTTGCAATTTAATTCTCAAAATTCATATGTTCATCCCACATATGATAGATTAATGCATTACGAAGTGCAATGTGAGTTTCTTTATCCTTGATTTGTCTATGACGAGCAAGGAACTCCTGAAAATGTTGATTTTCGTCTTCAACCAACTCAACTTCTGGACTTAACGCTTTCGCCCATTCTTGAACTGGTGCATCAACATTATGTTCGTCCTCGATAATCATGTTATGCATTATTATGCATGTAGTCATGATATCATGTAATACTTGTTTTTCTCAACACCTTGCGGATCCTTTCGTTATTGCAAACTTCGATTGTAGAACGCCAAATGCACGTTCAACATCTTTTCTACACGCATCTTGTTTCATAGCAAATAACTTTTTTTCAGGACCACGCGGCTCATGAATTGTTTGCACAATGGTAGACCATTTTGGATATATACTATCAACTAGATAGTAACCCATGTTATATTGTCTTCCTTGAATGACGTATTGAGCTGGAGGAGCAATACCTTGAGCGAGGTTTGCGAAAAGATGAGCTCTCTCCAAAACATTGATATCGTTGATCGAACCAGGAAGTCCAAAATATGCATACCATATTCAAAGATCATAATCAGCTACAACTTTGAGGATAATAGTTGGAGATCCACTACGACCTGCATATTGTCCTGCCCATGCGATTGGACAATTTTTCCATTTCCAATGCAAACAAACTAGACTGCTCAACATTCTCAGAAAACCACGTTGTTTATTAACATGGAGTAGTCTTTCAATGTCATTCGCAGTATGTGATCTTAGATATTGCTCAGCAAATATTTCGACAACGGCACGACAAAATCTCTTCAAACTTTCAATGACGGTAGATTCACCTATTTTAATATACTCATCAGTAGAATCTGCTGACACGCCATATGCCAACATCCAAAACACTGCCGTTACCTTTTGATGACTAGACAATCCGAGTCTACCTAGCCCATCTCGTTTCTGCACAAAATAATTGTCATGACCTTTCACCACCGTTAGTATTCGACCAAATAAACGTCGAGACATTCAAAATTGTCGACGGAACATATGTTCATCGAAACGTGGGTTTTTAACAAAGTAGTCGTTGAAGAGATTTACATCAACGATTTGTCGATCACGATCGATGGTTCTATGACCCTGAATGGAGCATCCATGTGGCCTTTGGTAAATATGTTGAGTAGCGTACTGAGCTATGAGTAAGTTTCTATTCAAACATAGACAAATAATAGCTTGTTGTCGTTCTTCAAGAAAATCATTATCATTTTCTTCATCGGACAATGACGATGAATTTGAATCAGACACATAAGAGGGACCTCCAATATTGAAATTCATTTTTGAGTAGTATGATTGAGGGATGAGGATTGCCCGACCTCAATACTGCCTTTTATTGTTGCTGAATACCTGGTCCACCGTTAGATAGGATATCTAAGCAAATTCATCTCCATCGTTGAATTGAATTACGTAGAGATCTCAACCGTTCAATCCATATGTAATATCAAATCTCATAGTATACTATTGAAGATAGGATATCTGGGCAAATTCATCTTCATTGTTGAATTGGATTACGTATACATCTCAACCGTTCAATCCATATATAATATCAAATCTCATAATACACTATTGAAGATAGGATATCTAGGCAAATTCATTTCCATCGTTGGATTGGATTACGTATAGAACTCAACCGTTCAATCCATATATAATATCAAATCTCATAGTACACTATTGAAAATAGGATATTTAGACAATTCATCTCCATCGTTGGACTGGATTACGTAAGTATCTCAACCGTTCAATCCATTTATAATATCAAATATCATAGTACACCATTGAAGATAGAACATCTAGGCAAATTCATCTCCGTCGTTAGATTGGATTACGTCAAGATCTCAACCGTTCGATCCATATGTAATATCAAATATCATAGTACACTATTGAAGATAGGATATCTAGACAAATTCATCTCCGTCGTTAGATTGGATTACGTCAAGATCTCAACCGTTCAATCCATATGTAATATCAAATCTCATAGTACACTATTGAAGATAGGATATCTAGACAAATTCATCTCCGTCATTGGATTGGATTGTGTCAAGATCTCAACCGTTCGATCCGTATATAATCAAATCTTATCATGCCTACACTTTTGTCTATAAATTAGCTTATCATTATCTTCAATTTCTCAAACTTCCCAAGTTAATATCACCTACCCTTATCAATAACCCCCCTAAAAAATGAGTTCTGTTCCACGAACTTCTTCACTCACATGAAGAAAATGTACACTTATGTCAAGTCTATCTTGATATCTCCCAAGATCCAATGGTAGGTATATACCAATCAAAGGAGTAATTCTGTTTCCGAGTGGAGAATGGATACAATACCACACTTCCTTCATTTATCACTCTTACTCGGCCTAAAAGATCTCTAATGAAGTGAATGCAAGTTATTAATGCCGCCATTAGTAAAATGCAAGGATGCGTTTAGCAAGTCGAACTTCTGAAACAAAGTGGTGCATCAGAAGAAGATATTGTGAGTATTACTCGTAATGTATGCTTCCAAATGTTAAGCATCTGTTAAATTAATGTTATGTTGTCTTGTTTCGTAGATGTTTCGAGCCAAAGTGCTATTATCTGAAAACCCAAATTTCAAGAAAGGGTTCAAATTTTATCATGTCTGACCTATGCTTAAATATGCCAAAAAAATTTGAGATGATGTTAACACGGCCAAAGCAATCTGACATAGGCAAGGTCATGTTAACATTGCATCATCACAATCAGATTCGTCATCGGAGGACCACACGTCAACTCATTCAACATCTCCTAGATTATCCTCATTTTCTCTTAATATAAACGAAGACAATGTTGACGATAACGACCCATATAGGTAAAAAAAGGAAAAATAAAGAAGAAGGTATAAAATTACTTACATCCATTAAAGAAGAGAACCGACAAATTCTCGAAATTATGAAAAAAAGTAGTGAGAAAAGACAGCAGAATTACGAAATCAAAAAAAAAATTGTGAATGACAGAATATCGTGGGGAGAATAAAATTTTGTTAACATATTTGAGTTCGATAACAGATCCACACGTATGTTTGTGCTTGCAAAACGAACAAGCAAGAATTTGCCAGAAGAAATCTCAACAAGAAGATAAAGGATCTGAAAGTTCATCTAATTTGTCTGAAAATTATTTTAGCGATTTTGAAGGATCCGGAAGTGATCTTCCAAATTATTGAACTATGCACTTTTTATGTATCTTTTTTTTAAAAATAAAATTAGATTATCGTATGCATGTCGCTATTTAATATATTTCGTGTTAATTTTAATAAATAATCGTGTTTGATATATTTTAAATTATTTTCGTCTTTTGATTAATTTATTAATTATTATGTCTTACATTTAAAATTTATTTTAAATACAAATAATAATAATAATAATAATAATAATAATATTAATATTAATAAAAATAATAATAATAATTTATTGTATTATTGCACAAATGACATAAATATTTTCAACAAATTTATTTGAAAAATGTTAAACAATGACAAAAATGACATTTTACACTAAATTGGTGCAAAGTTTGGCTTTGTATTGGAGCAACATTGCACCAAGAAATGGTGCAAAATGGTGCAATGGTTGAACATGCCCAACAACCTACAAACATCTGAAAAGGCATAATACAAAATACCCTGATGCGACAGTGGAAGTTACTTTACCTCCGGAAGCTGCGAGGACCTTCGCTAGCCGCTGTAGCTGCTCCCTGAAATTCTCATTATAGAATCTTCGAGCCGCCTTGGAGTACTTTGGTTCAGCCGTCGAAGCTGGCTGCTTGGCTTTGTTAGAATTGTTGTTGATATTGCTATTGTCTTTTTTCTTCTTTTTCTGAGTATTCGTATGGGCCATGGCCTGAATGAGGCGCGCGGGAGGCGTGGTTTGGAGAGTGAGGTTCCCGTTCTCGTCGCGGACAATCCATGGGATGTATAGCTGGTCTCCAAGTTCTGAACTCACTGATTCAGGAGATTCCGAGTTCGGAGCGGGGGTTTGTCGTAATTTGGATTCCGATTTGAGTTTGGGTTTGGGCGGGGCAAATTTGATGTTAAATTCAGTGGTAGTGGATGAAGAAGAGCAGGTAATGAGGGTGCGGAGGTGGCGGCGGGTGGTATGTGACAGGAAAGGGGGCTTGGAAAGGCGGAGGGTGGTGAAAGCATAGGTAGCCGCCGCCATCTGCGGTGGTGATTCCGGCAGTGTTGAAGATAATGAGAGGGAAGTGTAAAATTGTTAGACTAGTGGACTGGGCCGGATACTTGCGCATTCATTTCTCTCTCCTATTGTTTGTCTTGATAAAGTTTAAGGGATAATGTTACCAATACCGTGGTGTTCATTTGAGAGTCCATGCGAGTCCATCCTACTCACATTAAGAGCATTCACTTTAAATAAAATCATATTTTATTTGAAACGAGTCCATTCCATGTGAGAAGATGAATATCCGAATGTACATGTAGCATGGCACTACTATTTTTGCCCACATTTTTTTATAAGTATATTTTACTCTAAGTTCATTTCTAATAAAAAAATTTTAAAAAAATACTGTTTACATCCACATCATATTTCAATCTTGTCCTTATTAAATTCATTAATTTAAATATTATATATCCACATGAATTTTATATATTCATCTCACTTTAAATACATCCTTATCACTATAGATTTGCTTAATCCCTAAAGCCATAAACTCTTAAATCAAATGAATGAAATAAGAACAAAACTGAACTGATTGAACATTACATTAACATGAAATAAATTTTGTATCTATTGAATTTCTGAGTACTATAATGTTTCAAATAACAAAGGCTAAAGAAAGAAAGAAGAAGAAAGTTCAATTAAGCAAGTTGAATTTTACTAACTTTATTAGGTATAATTATTCTTCTTTCTTGGTTAACTGATGAAACTGCATTAGATTTCGTTTTGCATTCTTAGAAATCCGATATGATTCTCAACACAAAAATCACATTTAGGGCCACCATTACCTATAATTATATTCATGTATTTTTCTCTGTCTATTAGGATTTTAGTTAAGCACAAATGAAAATAAAAACTAGTAGATTAATTTTGAGTTATGTATTTTTATTTAATTTTGTTTATGTCTGTTTAAGTAAATTAACATAGAATTTAAAATATAACAAAATTTAATTTTTAAAAGTGGATGTATATATAAAAAATGTGGAAGGAAATAGCGGCGTCCCATGTAGTATGACCCAAGTTTAAGAGGGTGGAATTTATATAAAAAGAAAATAAATTTTAAGTAATTAAATAATTTAAGAATTACTCGTATAGAAATTGTGAATTAAATCTATTTAATTGATATAATTTTTAATTTAAAAATATTATACTTATCTATTTTTTATTATTGAGTAAATGAGAGGAAGGGGATAGATGAGAGAGAGTGTGTGAATTGCTTGAAAATAAAACCCCACTCTTCGAAAGAAAATATTTTCCTTATTTTCGAGAAAAAATATGGTCACATAACAAAAAATAGGAAAATATTTTTCATGAAAAATACCAACCGCATAACACAAAAATAGGATTTTAAATAGAAAAATAACATTTTCATACAAAAAATTTGACAATCAAACGCACTCATAAGGATTTTTAATTTCCATTTTTTTATATTTAGGGTGCATTTAATTGCAAACATTGAACTTGCATGGAAATAATATAAATTCTAGACAATTGAATTGTTTAGATCTTATTTGTATGAAAATTATTAATTAAAGATGTTTGATTGATTTAGTTTTCAATTTAAAAAATATGATGGTTTGTCATTTTTTATTGTTGGGCAGATAGGTGTGGGCATAGATCATAGATAACACAGAAAGTGTGAATTACTAGGAAAATAAAAACACCACTTCCTAAAGAACATGCTTTTCTTATTTTTGAGGGAAATATGGTTACATAACTAAATCTTGAAAAATATTTTTCATAAAAAAAATTGTCAATCAAACTCATCAAAAATAGGATTTTGGTTTAAAAAAAAAAAAACATTTTCGTGAGAAATAATGTGGAACAAACACACTTTTAGCTCATATGTAGAAGAAAAGATTTTTCACAATANACAGAAAGTGTGAATTACTAGGAAAATAAAAACACCACTTCCTAAAGAACATGCTTTTCTTATTTTTGAGGGAAATATGGTTATTTAACTAAATCTTGAAAAATATTTTTCATGAAAAAAATTGTCAATAAAACTCATCAAAAATAGGATTTTGGTTTAAAAAAAAAAACATTTTCGTGAGAAATAATGTGGAACAAACACACTTTTAGCTCATATGTAGAAGAAAAGATTTTTCACAATAATTAATCAAAGCGTTGTGGGCAAGTGACACATCATTGTACTCAAATTTGAATCAAATAGGAGAGTGTAATCAATTGAAATTTTTGAAAACTTTTATGAACTTTAAGCAATGGCTTTAATGAATTTTTTGGACATTTTATGAATTTGTATGAAATTATTGAAAATCTTTCGAATTTTTAAAGACTTTTATTTTTAAATTTTTATATACTTCTGTAAAATTTAAAAGGCTTATGAAGACTTTCGTTGAAATTTTATTTTTTTTATGGGTTCTAGAACAACAAAAATTAATATATTTAAATTTAATTATAAATTAGTGTTTTTTTTTTTATATAAAATCTTATAATTTTTAATTAAAAATAGATATTTTTCATAAAAAATGATGAAAAAAAATTATAAGAATTTTAGTTGCAATTTAATTTTTTCCATAAAAAATATAAATAAACAATAAAATAGAGAGACAAAAATAGAAACAAATATAACCAATTAATAAAATAATTTTAATTCATAGAAAATTGAAAAAAATAAATTTTGAAAGAAATAAAAAAATACACATTATTATTTTTGTGGAAGTCTCTCAAAATTTGGGATAAATGAATAACAAATTTGAGATTTTATTTTAATATTTTTTGCTTAAAAGTTAGTACAATAAAAACTTTTATAAAAGTGATTAATAATTTAAATACCCTAAAACTTATAGGGATTTTAAAAAAAAAATTTAATTGAATACACCATGATTTAAAAAATAACAATCTATAGAGGCCTCGATTTACTACACCAATACTTTTAAAGAGTCTAAAAAATCTATATTGAATATTCCTATTTTTTTTAAATTTTCAAAATTCTTTAAAAATCTGAATTGAATACAATTCCCTAAAAGTTTTCTAAAAACCTATTCGATGCGAAAAGATAAAATTTTTAAAAATTACAAAAATAGTGTTAACTGTTTTTACCACAAAAAAAATAAAAATAAAATAAATTGTGTTACTTTTCTAACATACTGGGTTACACTACCCATCAACATTGATGCCATCCAGGCACCCACCACCAGCAACAGCATAGAGGCGACACATTCTTTGCGATGTACCAACATTAGTGCCACCACCATGATCAAGGAATCCAAGACCACACGTAATTGGCAATCAACCCATATTCACACACCATATCCAAATAAAACACAAGCTAAATGATGCACTGTGACCTTTGCCTAATCACAAGAACAATGCTACCAACGAACTATCGTCATGCGATTTATTTACCTCAATTAGCAAGCGCCAGGAAAATAACCTTTAAGCACAACAACAAAGTCAAAATCTTTATCAATCTTTACCTTCATAGTTGTCAAATATCCTGGTGAACTTTTGATTCAAATCTAGATTCGGCAATGACCCGGTGACGAAGAAAAGAAGGAGAATATATGTGATCTCAATGGCGATGATCTAATAGTGGCTCACCGTAATGTTCCAAGATTTTTATGATTTTTAAATTTTTCTCGATATTTTTCTAGAATTTTCTAGGTATTATAATTTTTTATTATTTGACTGAAGGTTTCCTTTTCTTTTTTCCTTATATTATCGTAAACAAACTGCTCATTCAATCTATGTAAATTATTTTATTTATTATATATTAAATAATTATAATTAAGTAAAATATATTTAATCATGTTGTGTTCCCGTGCGTGTGATTCAATTTTTGATCAAAACTTGGAAGTTAACACGTGCGTCGATACATGCTCAATTGATCGTTTTGTAGCAATCACAATTCAGCTAATGTTTAGAAAACTGCTTGTACACTATCATCTCCTTAATCTTTTATAGATTGATGAGATGTGAAAAAGAAAGTAAGGGATTTTTTATTTTTTATTTTTAATTATTTGATTGATGAGATTGTGATCCAATCAAATTTCACTATATCATTCGTCATAAACAAATCTATAAATTGTGATATACATGTAATACAACCATAATATTTATTACGACATTCAGAAATGGCATCAACGTTGTTCAAATGTACCATGAACATAACCCAATTTATGCTACAATTACACAAATAAAAATTCCAATTTGTCACAACAAAAAAAGAATTCAAAGACTGAACACAAATAGCATGCCAATTTTCTTGAAACTAGTATATATCTATTGATATATACTTATCATGATGTTTACAACCTTGTATTGAGCAATTGTTTGCGGTGATATTATATCATGCCTTACACTATTTGATTCCACACATCGACGATGTTACTCTGAGTTTGATAACATCGAATATTGGCTGTTGTTATTGCATTTGATATATTGCTTGTCTTTCTTGAGACTACATTTTATTCATTAATCTATTAAGTTTTATTATTGGAAAAGTTTTTTTTTTTAAAAAAAAAGGGTTCCCCCCCCCCCCCCCCCCCCAACTCATTCCATACCCTTTACAATCCCCATTTTCATGGTCCTAACACCCTATATTTTACCCCCCGCGAACGCTATCGCTAGCCACCACATCCCATAACCTACCGTCAATAGAATTACCTCCAAAATACATCCCCCATCTTTGATTGTGCCCACAACGCCGTGTAGGGCCCAGAAACTGCAAAAAAGCACAGACAACTCTTGTTCCTGTTCTACTGAGGTACATCCCACGATTTACCTCCCTCACAAAACTCTAGGAGTGGGACAGTAAGGACCCTAAAAGTTGGGATTCAACATTTTTTCAAAAACTGCAAAAAGCTTCCAAATTCTGAGAACCAAAAACCTTGAACCAATTGTCATCGATGGGACCCACCATTTTGACCTACATCAATGATGTTGTCACTCCCATTCCGTAAATACTCCAGCCATGCATCTTCATCAATTAGATCATAGTCTACTTCTAGTCATCCTGAGTTTTTGCTTTTGTGTCAATTGTTTTATTGTAATGGTATTGACTGTGGATATATAACGACAATTTGTCGATAGTTTTATTTTAATGATAATTTGTCGTGGGAACGATGATTTGACTATGGTTGGGAGGTGGAGGAAGTGGTCATTGTGAATCCGAGGTAAAAGTGGCAGTGGTGGAGGTATTTGGATTTTGGGGTAGCAACAAATATTTGGATGATGTTGACGGTTGTGGAGTGGAGGTAAAGTAGGATAAGATGATGAGTGATTATGATCTATTAATGGAGTATTATATGATTAATAAATAATTTGCAATGTAATAGAATGTATAACTATAACTAAATATGTAATTGTGACTATAACTAAATATGTAATTGTGACACACAAATTGTGTCTTTGTATTTGTTATTTTGTAGCTAGTATGTAATCTTGACTATATTACATGTTAAATTAAATTATATGTCACAATTTTTTATCAAATATTAAAAAATATGATCAACTGATTTCTGTAAAAATTCCAGAAATTTTTTATTTTTAAAAAATTCATTTTGAAACATTTATAATTATGTATATTTCCCACTCTGCTTTTGAGAAAGGATGTTAGGGTGTAATTTTCCCTTTGCAAAGACTCGCAAGTTTCGTACTCCTCCTTCCAACTCATAGGAGAAGCAAAAAGTTATGAAAGAAAAATGCACGTTTTGCCAACCTTGATTTTTTATTGGCGAGTACATAAACTTTATAAAAACAAGTAAGTTTTTTGTTGGTAAAAGTTGAAACTAATCCTATATCAGAATAAAATAAATGTTATACAAATGATGTTTATTGACACCACATCTGGCATTGATGTACACCTTGTACAAGGATGGCAGAAATTTAATGTAGAAAAGAAACATTATTTTCAGGTAAATATGAGAGAGAAGGGTTATGCATGAATAGCAATTTTGCTGCTCTCTCAGGATAATACATAAAAGTATTGTTCAAAGGCATTCTTTTAAGATATACGAAAGAAAAGAAATTTCCCGACCAAAAGAAACGGTAATGGAATTCTTCCACAGTTGTAGGCAAAATTATGCCTTTTAATGATATCATCATCAACCTAGAACATGAAAAACAGAAGCAATGTTAGAAGTGTCGTGGTTTCAAATCAACCAATAATGTGATGTAAATACCAAGCACACATACTAGTGTTTCCCGTCATGAAATTGAGCATTTCTAGATGACTTGAAGGTTTCCAAGAATTCTTTAGCCTTATTTAATTCTTGCTTCTGCCTCGACTTGTCCCAGTTGTGCTCAGCAGCAAGTATCTGAATGATCCTAGGCACCGCCCTCCCGGCTGCATCAGTGTCAAGAAAGGCAAGTCGAGACCTTCGGGCAATAAAATCCACTGCAGATTCACAGTACTCATTCCGAGCACAGTATGCAACCTCAGCCTCTAGAAAAGGATATCCATGGGCAAGTCTCTTGCCCAGATTTTCATTCTGCCCACCAAAAAAAATAAAATAAAATAAAATAATAATAATAAAAATTTAATGATCTTAAATAAACATGTTGTAGCATAGATATGTTTCCATCAAGTGAACAGAGATATATGGCCCAAAAGACTGAAAATTCCATGTGATTCGTCATTAATAACCCAATCAATGTAAGAAAGGAACATCACAAGAAACCACCTAAGCTAAAATAAAAAAATGCCATATATTGTCAGAAAATCATTGGTAGATCTTCGAAACTATGCTCATATCTATGTGCAACGGGGGATGGGGAGTTACTATTAAATGAATTTTCTTATGCAAACATAGGAAGCACTTCACCATTGTCAAACATTTAAGAATTGAACAGCCCGATATACTGGTGGCATGTTTGTTAAAGATGATAACACAAGATTGTATCAAAGAAGAAAAAGAAGTTAAACTATTGTTCCATATACTGTGGAATCCTCTCTAATATTGTGTACCAAATATGCACTTGTAGTATGTTTGTTATGCCAGAATAGAGAGTACTAGATAGGATTAAAGGAAAAAAAGGAGTTCAAATCTTGTTTGTAATCCTGTGAAATACTCTTATCAATTGCAATGGTACCAACTGTGCACTTGGTCTGCTGCTACTTGGAATATGATAAAGAGAAAAGAAGAGAAAGATGGGTCATAAAAATCTCACACTGCTAGATACCTATGTAAAGGCATATGAAATAAAAGCACTAGAACCACCCAACTCAAGAAGCTATCAAGGAGAAAATTGTAGAAAAGTAAAAATGAAATAAAGCAGCAAAGTATAAAAACAGCAGTGGAGGAAGAAATGACCTGAGCAATGGCAGCTACTCTTTGGGCGAAAGTACCATAGGCATGCGATAAATGTTTCGCTGCCACAGTGTCCATTACACCTGGAACAACCTTTCCACCATATGATTTCTTCATGCGCACATATTGCTGAGCTAGAACAGTGAAAGATGCAGGATCCCATCCATCAGCACCTATAAGCTGTAGGTTGTACGTCGAGCATTTGCTGGCCGGGCTCAACTTTCCAGACTTAATAGCTGCATCAACAGCATCCTCTGCCATGCTGAAAGTGGTTATAGTAAGCATACTACTCAAATGGAAAAGTCTGACATGAACATGTTTGGCTATGCTCAAAAGCTAAGGTGAAAAAGTTTTAAAATAATTAAATTTTTTATTGTTCATAGAAATAAGTGATTTATTTTGACACTAAGGTAAGAGTTACTTTTGCTTTTTGTTGAGCTTAGCCTCACGTGCATAGGGATGGAAGCTTTATCAATCAATCAAAGATGAGTATCTTATTCATAGCTTATATAACTTATAAGAACCCAAAAAGTTGTTGGATTAAAAAGTTTAATAACAATTTTAAAAAAACGTGTAATACCAAATTAAGTTTACCTTCTATATGTAGTCCACTTTCCACCAGTAATTGTAACCAGACCAGGAAAATCTTCACACACGACATGATCTCTGGAGATGCTCTCCGTGTTTTTGGCTTTGGGATCCATAGCCAATGGACGAATGCCACTCCAAGCTGAGAGAACATCAGTGCGTCTAACCTAAATAATCACAAATAATGTATCTCAAGGGCAAGACACAAGTCACCGAGTGGAACAAGAATCAGGAAACAGAAAACAAAACAGTCACCAATAATACACGAAAAACTTCATGATTACAACTAAATTATGTTACCGTATATAGTTAGATTTATATTTGGGAAGGAAGTTGATTTTTAGGAATTATGTTTATTTACTTTCCTTGTATATTCAATGATTGTACTATATATACACAATAGAAACAACAAGGGAATAACACGTTTTACAGAAATTCTCTCAATTATTCGACCCTTTTTGACATGATATCAGGGCAAAGGTTCTAACTTCTTACTGGGTGTGATTTTCTATTCGAGTTCTTCCCCCTCATGGATCTCGTGCCTCACAATGTTTCGATATTATTCATAGTGATATTTGGGGGATTTCACCTATTATTTTTTACGCACGTTTTAAGTACTTTGTTACATTTATTGATAATTTCAGTCGCTTTACTTGAGTTTATTTTTTAAGGGCCAAAGCCGAGGTCTTTTCAATTTTTAAGCGTTTTCTTGCTTTTCTTGAGACTCAATTTTCTAGAGGCATAAAAATCTTGCGATCTGATTTTGGAGGAGAATATATGTCCTATAAGTTTAAGGACTTTCTCTAAAACAATGTTGTTGAGAGGAAGAATCGTCAACTTCTGGATATGGTGTGAACTCTTTTACTTGACTCATCTGTACCTTTTTTATTCTGGTGTGAAGCACTTTCCACTTCAGTTCATTTAATTAATCGTTTAACCTCTCCCACCTTAAATCATGCTTCTCCATTCTTTAGGCTATATGGACACTCATCGTCGCACTATGATCCGCGTACATTTGATTGTGTTTGTTTTGTGCATCTTCCTCCTCATGAGCGACGTGAACTTACTGCTCAATCTGTTAAGTGTGCTTTCCTTGATTATGCCATTTCTCAAAAGGGTTATGCTTGATATGATCCTCATACTCAAAGTATCCGTATCTCTAGGAATGTGGTTTTCCTTGAAAACCAATATTTTTTTCCGTCTCATGTTGAGCTGCCATCTACGTCTTTATCTATCCTGCTTAACTTCCTTGCTTCCCCTTCTCCTATGACACGATTTAAATCGGGACTTGTATATGAACGACGTACTTGTGAGTCTGGTACCGCTTCTTTTGTGCCCCCTCCCAATCTCGCTCCGTCACCTGATCGTACTATAGTTCCCACCTATCTTCATCGGTCTACACGTCCTTCTCGACCACTTGATTGGCATGGTTTCTCATCTCCCGTCTCTCTTGCATCTACTTTATCTGCTATTTCCATTCCCTCTTCTTATAAACAGGCTATGGAACATGAATGTTGGCAAAATGCAATGAAAGTAGAGCTTCAAGTACTTGAGGAAAATCTCACTTGAGACGTTCCTTGTCCTTCTGCGATGAAACCTCTTGGGAGTAAATGAGTTTTCTCTGTGAAACTTTGTTTTGAAGGCTCTTTGGATCAGTATAAAGCACGTCTTGTAGCCATGGGTAACAAACATGAATATAGGATTGACTATGAGGAGACATTTGCTCCTATTGCCAAAATGACCATCATGCAGATAGTCTTAGCTATTGTTGTTTCCCAGTCATGGAAACTCCATCAATTCGATGTGAAGAACGCATTTCTTCATGGTGATCTTCATGAGGTAATTTATATAAAACTTCCCTCTGGTATGACTATTTTTTCTCTCATGACATCTGTAGACTACGGCGTTCTCTGTATGGACTCAAGCAGGCTCCTCGGGCTTGGTTTGAGAAGTTTCATAGCACACTTATTACCTTTTGTTTTACACAGTCAGTATGATTCCTCTCTTTTTCCACAAATCTGCCTTGGGTATTGTACTTCTTTTGGTTTATATGGATGACATCATCATTACTGGCACGGACCGTAGTTTCATTTCTAAGCTTCAATAGTTAATGCATACCACTTTTCACATGAAAGATCTTGATCAACTTACATACTTTATGGGCCTAGAAGTTCATCATCGGGATCAAGGTATTTTCTTAAACCAGCATAAGTATGTTCAGGATCTAATTGCGTTGGCTAGGTTGGAGGACTCTTCTTCTGTAGATACCCTTGTGGAAGTCAATATAAAGTCTTATCGTCGTCTAGTTAGGAGTCTTATCTATTTGACCACCACTTGCCTAGATGTCTCATATGCCGTCCATCAGGTTAGCCAGTTTATGTTTTCACCTCGACATCTTCATCTTGCGAATATTTGCCATATTGTTCACTATCTTCTTGGATCATCTACTTGTCGGTTATTCTTTCCTAAAGGGGTTCTCTTCAGCTCTTGGCCTATAGTGATGCTGATTGGATTGGGTGTCCAAATACACGTCTTTCTACTACGGGTTGGTGTGTGCTTTTGGGTGATGCATTGATCTCTTGGAAATGTAAGAAACAATATTGTGTTTCTAGATCATCTACTGAGGCTGAGTATCGTGCCATGTCTTCAGCTTGTTTTGAGATTATTTAGTTACGTGGTCTTCTAGTGGAGCTTGGGTTTCCTCAGACTCAACTTACTCCTCTCCATGCGGATAATACTAGTGCTATTCAGATTGTAGGCTGTCCCGTCTTTCATGAACGCACCAAACACATCGAGGTTGATTGTCACTTTATTCGTGCACTTTGATAGATCACGTGATATCTCTTTCCTACATTTCATCTGATCTTCAGGTGACAGATATTTTCACCAAAGCAATGACTCGATTGCGGCATCAATTCCTTGTTGGCAAACTTCTGCTGGTTGATCTCCCCGCATCAATTTGAGGGGGGATATTACCGCATATAGTTAGATTTATATTTGGAAAGGAAGCTGATTTCTAGGAATTATCTTTATTTACTTTCCTTGTATATTCAATGATTGTACTATATATATACACAATAGAAACAACAAGGGAATAACATGTTTTACAGAAATTCTCTCAATTATTCGGCCCTTTTTGACAAATTAGTAACATAAATTTCAAAGAAACTGTAAAATTAATTCAAAGAACACCACACTTCCGAAACTCTTAATACAGAAGAATTGCTTTGCTTTATCTCATTTCCTATCAGCAAGTTGTAAGAGTGTTGACTAAAGTTTAATGAGCCAGTTGAACTTGATTAAAGAAATCCTTACGAAAACACTTGGTAAAAGGTTGGTGCGCAGTACTACACAATATTTTAGCCTAATTTTCTTCTTTTATACGCTCTGCTACTATCCAATCCTCTTTACAAAACATGAATCTAGTACTTGTTTGGTGTATAGTACTCAATCTGATTATTTAGCACACTAAAAATATTTTAGCTTCTTTTCTTATTTTAATACTATCTAGTACAAACTAATCCTACTCACCAAGCATATAATTTTCTTATGCAAATTCAGTACTTCCTATGGATTCTACACGACATTAACAGATCAAAATGACATACAAAACTAGGGACGGGCATTAACTGGAACTAAACCTCCGAACCGGACCGTGAGACTTTGATCCAGTTCCAAAAATAAATAAATTTGGAAAAAGAATCGAGAACTAACTGGATCCGGGTCGATTCTTTGTTCTTGGGCACCTAACTTTGGTTCACTTATTATAATTTTTTTATTTTTACAATTTATTCATCCTGATACAACGATTGACCCAATAAATAACAAGCTTGCAAGGCCCGACATGTATCAAGCTGGCAAAACCCCAAGTAATACGTATCTAATCAGTCAAATTCATTCATTAAAATAATTAAATCATATCACTTTCTTTCATAGCCACTCCTGCCCGCACTTTATGCGTTTCCCACCTTATAAACTCTTCTTGAGGCGTCACATCTAGAGCCATAGCCGAAATTAGATAATATCATTCTAGATAATAAATGTTATTTAGTGGAATATTTGAAGAGAATTAGAAGTGCTGACATATGTGTTTGACGATATATTTCATTTATTGAAAAATAATTTGTATTGTTAGCTCACGATTTTTAACAAAAATGTTCTGGGTAGAATCGAATCCGAATCGAAATCGACGACTTTCGTTCGGGTTTGATTTTAGTAATTACATGGATTCGAATAATTCCAATTACGAAATATTCAAAGTGTAATGATTGATTTCGAGTATTGAAATATTCAGACCAACCCATCCAATAACCAGGCATTTGCAAAACTAAGGCCTTATTCTCTTTGCTGTTTTCAAGTCGTTTTCTGTTTTCGATTTTTCAAAACAGTAAAAACGCGTTCTCTTTTCCGTTTTCAAAAATCGAATTTTTGAAAATAAAAAAAAAATTTATGAAGAAAATGCAAAACGTCAATTTGGACGTTTTGTATACAAAACCCAATTTTTTTTTTTAAAACACGGGAAACATGAAAGAGAAACTTCATTCCAACCCGTCTCTCTTCGGTCTCCTTTCTCTCTTCCCAAATAGCCATCTCTTAGTCTTATTCTCCAGTCGCAGGACCCACAAACTGCAGCAACCCTGTTAAATTCACTGAAATTCTTCGTGGATGGTTGATTAATCTTGTTTCACTTGCCTTGGATGCTACCATTTCAAGTTTTTTTTTTTTTTTTTTTGCTGCCAGCACCACCTTTTTTTTTTTTTTTTAGTTTTTTTTTTTTTTTTTTTTTGTCTATTTTTATTTTTCTGTCAAGAAAGTTATATATAGGTACCCACCCAATATTATTTGTTCGTAAAATTATTCAAGAAGGAGAGAAAAAAGGGAAAAAAGCTAGAAATATTAATATTTGATCTTGGTGCAACTTTTAGTGAGTGGTGCATAACACTGCGATGCTGCACTAGTTTTTTGATGGAAAAAGGTTGTGAATTTATTTATTGCTGCCGCCATGAATTTTCAATTATTTTGTATGTTGACACGGCAGACCAAGTTTGTGATTTCTTTTTCCTGCCAATAAATGTAAACTTGTTCATGCTTAGGTACAAGTATTTGTTTTTTGGTAATTCTATAATTGATAATAATAGAGAAAAGAAAGGAAAAAAGACTGTAAAAGGATTAATGCGAGAGAAAGGTGTGCTGCGAAAGCATAAGGTTACAGGAAAAGCAAGCTTCTGTGCTTTAGTTCATTTGGGGGAGGTCCGACCTGAAGGCATGAGGGGAAATCATAGGCACCACACCCGTAATGAGACATTTGTTATTTGGGGAGCAAAGACATTGTTCAAGGTATGCATTTCCTTTAATTACAGAGATAGAATTGGACAATCCTGACTATCTATTGAAATCCTTTGCTATATATTTGGTTTACTAATATTATAAGATGTATAAACTTAAAAAGGATTGTTATCTTGCTCTACTTCAAAATTTTTTTGGATTAAAAGTAATTTTAACTTTAACGGAATAGTGTCTTTCTACAATTCTTTCGAAGTGTGAGGAAGGAGAAAGAAAAGGAGACTTTATTGCTTGATAGCACCCGTTATTTTGATATTAGAGTTCAATAGGTTTTGAACATTATAAGGGATTATGGAACAAAAAACGATATGAATACTATTTTATACTGAGCCCCTGTTTGGTCACCCTTTTTTTGGGAAAAACATTATTTTGAATAGTGAATTTTTGGATTGTGTGGTTCAAATGTGTTGGTAGTGCCTTCTTCCTTTTTCTGAATAATCTTTGGCCATAATGAATTTTTGGAGAATGTGTAAGTAGTGCCTTCTTCCTTTTCCTTGAGTTGTACACACGAATAATCTTGGCCATTGTAACATACTGCTCCTGATGTAGTGAAATGTTGAGCTCTCCCGTGAGACGTATAGATGAAATTCTTGCACTTCCTCATTCAGCTGATGAAACTTTATTATTTGAAGCATAAAAAGAAACTGATGTTATTTTTTTTTTGTATAATACTTGATTGTGAGTATAAGACTACATACATTGGTGATGTGCAATTCAATATAGAATGGATTGTTTCACATTTGTACATAGAAATGGATTATTTGCCTCAAAAGGATTATAGAATTTTTAAGTAATTTGTATGCATGAGGTTTCAATCAAGACAAGTTTTACTGACCACAAACATGTTTCATGTTATTGAATTTCGACTTATGTTGGTGGCGGAAATGAAAAATAATTACAAATGAAATTGGTTTTAAGAACTCCAAAGGCTATATTTGGCTCATAATTATAAACACTCAAACTATTTTTCATCAACACTTTATTATAGAATGTATGGTTAAAAATGAGTTATTTAATACATTTCATCAACACTCAAATCATTTTTCAGTTATTTAAAATTTATATGTTATTTAATACTATATTAACATTAAAATATTAAAATTTATTGAATAATAAGATTTCTAGAATAAAATATTATAAAAAATTATTCTTAAAATTTCAAAGTAAACGTGTTTTCCAATTTTATGTTTCCAGAAACTGTTTCTAGAATAATAAAAAGAACGAATTTTCAACAATTTCAAAACTCAAAACTACAAAACTGAAACGCGAAGAGAACGGCCCCTAATATTTTGTAACATAGGAAGCAGTAGCAAAAGTTGACCAAAATATTGCTATATTAGTGCTATGCTTTACACATATTATAAACATTGACAATGTAACAAACCTTCAAACATGAACTTGAAAAATGAGCTCGTACCAAAAGAAATTATAACAGGTTGATAGCCTAATGTTAGAGCAAGGATATAAGAAGAGGCTGAACCCTAAGCCCAAACCGTGCAAGGTTGGCTAATTGCCACTAGGCTATCATTCTAAACGGAGACCATAAGGTGTTTGCTTATACGACACACATATGTAAGTTAAACAAGGTATTAAAAAGGCAAATGCGTACCTAAGCAGCCAAGACAGATATACATTCTCAGCTTCTACAACTCAGGCATGTTATTGCGGCAGAACTTTCATGGATCAGAACCTAGAATTTGTGCATTAGGATATATTGATGTCGTACATTCAGATAAAAATGAACATTTCATTTTATCAAAATGTCTCCACCTCCACCCTCCAAAAAAGAGAGGAGCGGAGAACAAAAGGGAGAAAAAGAGAATATAAGCATCTGCTTGTTTTCCAACAAAAAATAATAAATACATATACTCTTCACAGCCATTGTTAAGAAAAACGGAGTTCCAGCTAATCCTTTCAACAACTAACTCAAGAGGGTGAAAAGATATCCGGGTTACAAAGGAGTAAAAGATCCACAAAAAGGCATATATTTGGTCATCTGAGGAATTGTTTACATTTTAAAAGTAATAGGAATAAAAAAATAGCTAGAAAACATAAAATTAATTTCAAAATAAAAGGCATGAAGTATAAACTTTTCACACCCAAGAAATTACACTAACAACAAAAAACAAAAGCAAGATAAGGAAAGAAAACCAATACCCATTGTATAAAACAAAATGTAAATGCATAACAAGGGAATCATAGTATCAACAAACCTTGACATTAAGATAGTCAGAGATAGCATCCAATATGAAGTCAATCTCGTCCTCATGGGGTTCTGGTAGCATCGTAATTTTAGTGTTTGAATCAGTGGTGCCAGCAACTGTTCTCCCTAACCAAGGAAGCATGAACACAACACGACCATCCTTGGTTTTGGGGACAATCAAGCCCATTCCCTCTGGAGAATAATAGTCAGGAAGCACAACATGTACACCACTGCTAGGAGAGATCATCATCTTTGCATCTTTGTCAGCCAGCTTCCTTACAGAATCACAGAATGGACCAGCCGCATTCACCACAACTTTTGCATATGTATCAAATTCCTTGCCTGCACACTTTGCAAAGTAAGATTTCAAAGAGCAATTTAATCATGTTACATAGCGACAAACAAACATAATTAATAGTGGTTGAAACACTGTAACAATGCACAGTCACTCACAACACACACACACAGAGACAGAGAAGGAGGGATTGAGCAAATAACAAACAACTCAAGAAAGAGATGGGCACCATTGTTTATATTTTCTTCCTCAATATCCCTATGTTAGTGAATTGGTGATTACGTATATTTGAAGGGCAAAAAATACCAATAGTTCTTTCTTCCAATAAAAAAATTGATGTACTAAATCCTGAGGAAATTGCACACCAGTAGCACTTCATATAAAACCATGGAATACCAACAGAAGAATAGTCAACATCATCAAATTTATGATGTATAGATCTGAAGGTTAAAGAGAGATGGCCCAGAAGCCACATAACCCAAAAAGGTACTCAAAATTTTATATATGTATTAGATTTTACATGGATGAAAATAGGCAAGAAACTTCTATACATGAAACGTCTGCATAATAGTGCTACAAGCAGATGTGCAGATGGAAATGTATTGATATGATTCCTTTGGTACCTGATATGTTGTTTCTTATGTGTGCACCGATTATCCGACCATTGGCCTCATCCCTAAGGAAGGATATCACTTCTGCATGGTTAAGTACAGCTGCACCAGCTAAAGCAGCTGTACATGCTAGTGCAACATTTAGGCGTGAATCATTCATTTGTCCATCATAATAAACCACAGTGCCCTTCAAGGTCTTGTCTTTGCCATTCCTGGCCAAAGTAGGAAAGAGTTCAACCGACTCTTGTGCTGAATAGTATCTAGACAAGTGTAGCAAGTGACGCCCAGCAACTAGATCATACATTTTCAAACCAATCCAGTAGTATATTGCCTCAAACCATTCAAAACATGGAGTCATGCATGGCAGAGCATGGCAGAGGTGTGGAGCATTATCAATGACTTGTTTACGCTCCTCGAGAGCATGGAAAACCAGCTTTAATTGCCCATAATCCAAGTTAAAAATAGCTTTCTCCAAGTAACGAACTCCTGACAGGATTATCTTACACGTGAACAATAGATATCCAAGATACTATATAGAAATCAAGAATATCTGCAATATTATCTAAGAGAATCATAGAAGAGACCACAATTTTTCTTCGGTTAAAAATGTAGTCAACAAATAAAGCCTCTTTGTATTGTCTACCAGAAAAAAATTAAAGAGCGGTGGCTAAAGTTAATCAACTCTGCACAAATGTTGCGAGTAAAATCATTAACTGAGTTAAACTGTTCGGCCAACATATATGACCCATAGAGGATAAGATTAAGATACTAATGTCTTAGAATACCTCAAAATATTGAAAAAAGATTAAGAAATTAATGTCTTAGAATACCTTAAAATGTTGAAAAAAACTTCAGATTCAAGTGAATCCCCATGAGAAAATGGCACGATGGTGTCAAAGTTAATCAATGTAAACTTGAAAAAGGACAGACACAGGAAGCACGTCAATTTTAGTCCATCTTGCTCGACTAAGATTAAATACGTCTTTGAAAGGATTTGTTTAGGATTGTACAAGGCTCATATATAAGCATCTAAATCGTCCTTCCTTTATCCTCCAAAGGGTCTCGCCTTCACTTGGTATCTCATATTTCCATTTCATATTTTATCCATTTTAATGTGGCCAAATATCCATCTCAACCAATGTTGTTACCCGATTGAACAGGGCAGTTCAACCGGGAAGACCGAGAACCAGAACAAAGGGCAGTCTGGTTCCATGTTATAACAGGATATTAGAAAACCAATAAGAAAATCATTAAAACCACCGGTTCAAGAGGAACTGGTGAAGCAGTCACGGTTTTGGAGAGTTTCCTGGGTCTACTCATCTTGCAGCTTCGTAGACGTAATCCATAGATTATAAATGTTCATCCTCTAATCCTAATCCCCATTTTCTCACAGGATAAAAAGAAGCTTCCAGCAAGGCGCCAAATCCAATAAATAGATGCCAATTTGACAATGAGGCCATATTTTGAGTATCTAATAACAAAATTTTCATCTGCATCATGTGATCAAAACAGATCATCTTTCATTTGAATTTACTTTGAACTAGTGCTGCGAAAATATAATTCTGAACTGTCATAAATTTTTTAATAGCTCGTATCTACAAATTTTATTTACTTATTTAAATTTGGAATCTGTTTCAACCATTGAACCTTATAAAGCTTGCCCCTTTACCTTTTCCGGTTCGATGTCTGAGCAAGTTTATAAACACTGATCTCAACATCTTCATTTTTGCAGAGTTAAGCTACAGTGATTTTGCCTTCTAATGACCTAGGACATGATATGATACTCTATATCTGGTCTAACAATCATTTTATACAATTTTCTCTTTAACTATATAGATATGATTTAAGGAAATATAATCTGTGTCGCACTTCTCTGATTTGCAAACTACTCTAATCATATTAATTACCACGCACTACTCAACTTCTCATTATAAACAACTAAGCCTAAGCACCCAAAATAACCGTTTTGGAGATAACATGATCTTCTATTTTGGCCCTATGATCATACTTATTCTTACCATGATTAAAAGAGAATTCCACGTATTCCGTCTTAATTTTTAGATTCTAAAATGCTATCCAATACTCTAACATTTTCCTCATCGNGGAGAAAAATGATTTAAATCTCTCTCTAAATTTGAGGTTGAAGCGTATAAAAAAAATTAATAGTAATGTGTGGAAAGTGTCCACGAAAAGTTCCCGCCATTTTTTACTTTGAAACAATCATGCTCAATTTAGTAATATCTTCTTGTTTTCAATTGGATTGATAGATTCCACGACTTTTCTTTGAATATTCAATCATAATTAAATCAAAGCACACGACTTTTATTTGAATATTCAATCATAATTAAATCAAAGCACTCACACAACATATTTATGTGATTATCGTACGCATAATGTTATGTAGCACCATTCTAGGCGGTATTGAGGTCCATTCCCTCATTTTCCAATTATGCATTTTGATTCATTTTGGACAATGAGGTGGTGGACCCCATTAAGACGGGTGCTAAGCTCTTATGCCCTAAGTTATAAGATCATTCATTCTTTTACTTTTCAGAAATGGTGTCCCCTTGTTTCATCTAGTAATGACACCAATCAATACCTCTTTTCCCCCTAGATAAATAAACGGCTCCAAATTTCTACTAATGATATAAGTATAGCTTCATTTGGAATATAGAATGGTTTTAGAACTACAATTTTTTCCTTAAATTTACAATAACTCCGTATGCCATTGAATTTCATATTCCTTTCATGTGATATCTACACATAGTCACGAGTACCACATGAGAGCATATGAAAAGTCATCAATGCCAGCTGACCTTAGCCCATGCCTGTTAGTGTACAACTCCCATTGCTCAAAGTACAATACATTAACGTATACAGTGGACACGTAATATATGTGTAGAATGAAATGCTGACCTCCATGAATGAGTTTAGTTGACCGGGAGGAGGTGCCCGAGGAGAAGTCCTCGCGCTCGACAAGGCCAACGCGAAGGCCGCGTGTGGTGGCGTCAAGGGCAACTCCGCAACCAGTGGCGCCTCCTCCCACGACGAGGATGTCAAGGGGATTGGACGAGCTGGACCCCATCAGAGCCGACTCCTGAACATTACGAGATGGAACAACTGAAAATGGGTCCGTAATTTTCTGCTTTATGGCGGTGAGGAATGGCCCACCGCCGCTGCGATCATTGGAGGAGATTGAGGGGTTGCTAAGGAGTGTGTAATAGACGGCGCCGGATGCTGCGGCGATTGCACCGAACCGGCGGAGGCGTATGGCTGTGGCCATGAAGTGGATGACGAGTGACGTGACGATGATCAGAATAAGAGTATGGGAAAATGATGTGCAGTAGTTATGGCGGTACAATCCTTTATAATCTGTTGGAAAAGGTTGCCACAGGAATGGGACCGAGGAAGTGGCACTTTAAGGGGGTGTTTGATAACAATTTGTATGTTAAAATGTATTTTAGAATAGTAATTTGATGGAAGGTGTGTGGTTAAAAAATAAAGAAATTTTTTTGATTTAAGTGTAATATTATTTTAATAAAAAATGCGTAGTTAAAAAAAAGAGAGAGAAAATACATTTTGAAAAAAATAAGTACCAAACGGGAGCTAAATAGCCCTTTCTTGCAATGATGTCGGGGGATTTACCTATTTTCTCCTTAAAATACTCAACTTTTGATATAGAACAAAAATGAGTAAGCCCTTTTTGTTTTTCATTCATTTCTCATTAAAATAAAAAATATGACCGTTATTCATTACATCAAACTACCAAATTTGAAGTTCTATCTTTTGTGCAGGTCTATAACGACTATATTTTTAATTCTCATTTTTACAAAAATGAAAAACAAATACCCCCTAAATAACACAAAACATTCTTATCTTTTAATATTATTGTGTAAAACGTTTTCATCTTTCATTTTTTGACATTTTACCCATATATCCACCTTTCATTTCGTAAAATGTCATTTTCGTCTATTTTTCAATAAAAAAACGATATTACCCATATTCAAATAAAACAAAAAGAATATAATAGAAAAATAAAGAGCTAATTGCAACTATAATCCCAAATTTTTGAAAAATTACAAATCTATCACAAATATATACTAAAAAGAAGAAGAAGAAGAAGAAAAGCACCATCCTTTCTTGAAAATGGTGATATCTTTAATACCCGTTTTTAACTATACTTTAAATCATCTAATTTACTCTACAATTTTCCTCTTTGCCTTGTTTTCAACTCCCAATTTCTCACTTTCACTCTCTAACAAACCCTGTTTTGATTCAAGCCTTACTCTAATTTGTGACGCCAAGTTTACAAATAACTACTATTCTATTCAACTTACTGACCTTAAAAACTCGTCTCCAAGCTCTAGATTTGCGATTAAGAAAAAACCCATCAAAATTCTCATCTCCAATTCAAGGCCCATAAGACTAATATCATTTTTCGCTAACTTCACGTTCCTATTTTCACCTCATAATAGAAATGGGCTGGCTTGTTTACTCATGTCCAGGATGTATATGCTTATTTTATCTTTTTCCCACAAATTATATGGAAGATTTCTTCTAGTAGATTTTTTGGGCTAAATGAAACATTTTAATGTTACTGAGCATTCTTGATTTGCTTCGATTTACTAGCCAATTCGAATTCGCGAACCTATTTTGGAAAGTGGGGGTTAGGGATGTTCCCTTTGAAAAGGAATTTTGGTTTTTTTGCTTTTGGTATTTCAGGGTTAAACTTGTTGGTGAAGGGGAGCATCTTTCGGCAATTTAGGCGACGGTGGGTGGTGGTTTGAGTATGGACTGTCGGTGGCTCCATTTGGTGGTGTTTTTCTTCTTCATCATCTTCTTTTATACTTTTGATTTTTAAGAATATATTTGTAACTGATTTGTAATTTTTTGAATATGTGGGGTTATTGTTGCAATTAACTCTTTATTTTTCTATTTTTTCTTGTTTTATTTAAAAAGGGGTAAATTTATTTATCTTTTATTGGAAAAATGAATGAAAATGACATTTTGCACAATGGTAAATATATCAAAAAATGAAAGGTATGAACGTTTTGCACAATAATATTAAGATTTGGGAATGTTTTGTGCTATTTACCCTAATGGAAATTGTTCTCCCATCAAAGTAAGACGGCTGGCTTCCTGATGTAGCAAGAGAATCTTAAACTTTTTTAAGTGGATGAAATAAGATTTTCCACTGTGGATGAAAGAACAAGAATATTGATAGATTTTATAAACGCATTTGGTTTGACATTTTAAGTTATTTTTAATTTTAAATTTCGTAAAATAGATACTCAAAATACGTTTGGCTTTTGTATTTTTTGAAGATATATTTTCAAAACAAAATTAACGTATAACATATAAAATTGATAATACATTTTCAACAGTTTGAATGTTTTGGTTAGTAAAAATTCCAAAAACACTTAAAATATGAAATTTAAAGGCTTAAATAAAATTCTAAAAATATAATTATAAAATTCCAAAAATTATATATATATATATATATATATATATATATATAATAAAAATTCCAAAAAAAAATCTAAAAATTTTAAAAATCTGAAAAAATAGAATTCTAATTCTGAAAAAAGTACATTTATGAGAAAATAGGATTCTAGAAAATTATAGAAAAGTAAAAAAATTTAAAAATAAAATAAAAACAGTTCAAACTTTTAATACTTAGTTACATACTAAAAAACATATTTATATGACCATTTATAAAAATTCACAATCTATGTCATAGATTTTTAATTTTAATTTCTTATTTTTTGAAAACTTTATCTATTATTTACCTTTATTTTTACTTTTGTACCGAAAAATTAAATAATTTCTCGAATTAACCAAATGCGTGTTTTTAGTTTTCTGTTTTGAGAAAAAAGTTTTCAAAAGACAAACCAAGTTCCTTTTTATCGATCTTAAATCTGATCCTGAACTGGAAAATTGTAAAATAACTCAAAATTGAATTAAAAATAAAACGAGCTATAAGGGTTGTTTGAATCCTTTTTTGGGAAAAATAATTTTTTAACTGTAATTTTTTTTTTAGACAATATATAGTTAACAAGAATGAAAAAGTTTTGAATTTACGTGTACAACTATTTTATTATGAGAATTAGTGATTAAAAGTGAGAATGGGAAAAAAAATTAAATTTTAAAGAATAGAGCTCAAACACGGGCTAAATCAAACATTGATTTTAACAACACATTGATAACTATCATTCTTTATTATTTATAGATTTCATAAAATCTATTATTTTTCCTATGAGTAATGTTATTTAGTACAATTGATATTATAAAACAAAATTAGGTGTCATTAATATTGTATTATATGAAATGTATTAAATAAATCACATAGTCTACCTTTTCATCGAACATATCACATAACGCCACCTAAATTGGTATTGTAATATTAATAGTACTACTTGATAACATTATTCTTTTATTATTAGTTCTAGATATAAATTTGCTTAATGATGATTATTTGGAAAATATGTGATTAAAAAAGAAAGAAATATTATATGTAAACATTAAAATGATTTCTTTGGAGAGTGGTGATTGAAAATGAGTGTGCCCAAAAAATAATTTTCAAGTGATTACTTAAAAAAATGATGGATGTTATCCGGTATTAATGTGGTTTAAAATCTATCATTAGGTGCCGTTTACCAACTTTTCAATAGTCAAACTTCAAATTTAATTATACATTTAATGGGATTCACAGCTTCTATTAAGTTTTTAATTTAAAATTTCATTAACTTTTATCAAAATTTGTTAAAATTTAATCAAAATTAAACTGTCAAATAGTCCCTAAATGATTACTAAATTAAATACAAGAGGAAGGGACAATCCTTCCAGCCCATGTTTGATACATATTATTTAATATTATTTTTTAACCACACATTATTCTAATAAAATCATCATTCAGATGAACTTACAACTTTTCCTTAGTTTTTTAAAAATACTTTTTCTTAAAAAATTATTTTCAATAAAATCTATTTTCAAAAACTATACATTAAACATGTTGTTAAAATGGTCCCTAACTTATTGGATTGCTGTGCAAATGGTCCGTAACCTTCAAATCCTAGCACAAACAGCTAAACCGCCCACTTCATGAGGGAAATTAGTGGAGTTGATCCTTTTGGATCATTTTCATCCAATTTATCATTAAAAAGCTTGTGATAAAAACACTAAAATATCTTTACTTTTATTTAGATAAATAAACAATAAAGTGGGAAGAAAACTTAAATATGAAAAAGAAAAGGTAAGGGTGCGTTTGGTTTGCGTTTTCGTTTTTCGTTTTCAATTTTGAATTCATTTTTAGTTTTCTATTTTGAGGGACTATTTTCGAATTATAGAAAACGTGTTTGATTTGTTATTTTGAAAAACGGTTTCTCAAAACCGAAAACTAGAAAAATGCATTTGGTTTAAAAATTTTAGAAATTGTTTTATGACATTTATTCAATCAATTTGATTATTAAGTAAAACATAATAATTTTATGCTAATATATTACCAGATATTATACATTTTAAATTTGATGAATTTACTATTTTTTCTTGCTACAAAAATAAAATAATAAATAATAAATTTATGAACAAAAAATAGGAATCGTTGTAAAGAAAATAGCTAGTCCGTCCTTCATCCTTCTGGATAGATTTTCCTGTCATTTAGGCAGTAAAAAAAAGGAAATAATACTTCTTCCAAATTTTAATTAAAGAAAAAAACAATAATGGAAATTAAAAATATTTTGTGGGTTTTAAAATTATTATACTTCACTAAATTTTATCAGATTACAACATTTTATTTTAAAAATACTGTATCTCTTGGGTAAAAAAAAAAAACACGTGTTTTAAGTGTTTTCCACATTAAAATTTTTTTAACTCAAAATACTAAAAAGGGGAAAAAAATCATTTTGAGTTTTCAGTTATAAATTTTTCCTTATTTTCAAAAATGCATTTTCGAAAACGACAAACCATACACATTGTGAGCATTTTCAAAAACTAAAGACGGGAAATGGGAAACCAAATGTAACCTAAGTCATTCTACAAATCAATCTCTCATAAAAGCATCGACAATGCAATTCATGGCTACGTTTAAAAATTATGTTAGATAAGTTAAATAAAATACATTTCCGATGCAAGCTAATAATAACTTCATTGAGATACTGTGACGGGGAAAAAAAAACTATCAGAAGACTTTCAATCTATTTGACATTGATTTCTATCAAGTAGATACTCAAGCTCTAAATTGATTCTCAACGCATTAAGTGAATTGCTATCTGTGTGTCTTTTAGTTTCTTAGGTCTGGTTGATATTAATTTAAATCATATTTTAATTTAAGTAAAAGTTAAACAATCAATTTTAACCACATATTTTATGGGTCTCACAACTTTTCAACCACGTATTTAAATTATTATTTTTTTTATCAAAATCTACTAAAATTTAATTTTAATTTTTACCAAACAGAGACTTTAAATAATAACAAAATCTCATTTAATGATTCTGCACATTAAATATAATGTTTGTTAACATGTCTAATGGAACTTCTAGTTCTAGACGAATCTTTAGAAACGTATATTTTTCTCTGTCAAAAAATCTCTACTAACTTGCATTGGAATGTAAGATTTTAAAACATATTATATTTGCTTATACGACACAAGTTTTCAAGCAATCCACTGTTTGATTAGTTATTTTCTTATGGGGGATTGGTTAATAAAATGAACCAACTTTTCTTTTTGTTTTATATTTTTTAATTTATTTTTCTACTTTTTTACTTGTTTAAATAAAGTAAGACATTTTAGTTTTTACATCAAACGTTTGACATTTTTTTATCGGTCAACTGGATGAAAACTATTCAATGACATGACACTAGGAAACAAAAGAGATGGATAATGATTAGATTATCATGGCCCCAATTCTTAATAAAGCCAAGCTGTATTGCAACTACAAGCAAAGCCATTCTATGACAGATTTCTCAATCGACCAAGGAAGGCTTTCACTATTACCATCCAATATGTTACTCTCATGCCTTTCATTTTTCATATGGATAGATGTTTTAGTGTCTAGGCATAGAGAATCCAACGGCCACCCTAATAGTGCACCAGCCACTACAAGAGATGCAGAGGAGGCCTCGAGGCGCTTGAGATAGACTTCATGACTGACTAGTATGTCATGGAGTTCTTCAAAGGATAGGGATAAATCCCTGGTGCGAATGGGGGCAACAACATCACGGAATTCTGGCCCCAAGCCGTGAAGTACATAAAGTGTGACATCATCAGTTGAAAGAGGAATGTCGATAAGGCTCAGTTCATCAACTATAGCCGTCACAGCTTGCATGTATTCAGAAATACTCCGATCATCACGCTGCAACATGGTGAGACTTTCTTTCAACTGCATGACTCGGGTGCGAGATCGATTAGCATAGAGACGGGACAAGCGCTGCCACGCTTCCCACAAAGTTTGAGCAGTAGCAATCAATAACATGATAGCTTCAGCAAGGGAAGCAAGGATAGCGTTAAGGAGAAGCTTATCTCGTCGAAACCAAAGTTTAAATGCAGCATGGACAGTAACATCTATAGATGTATCAGGCTTCGATGGGCATGGGAGAGTACCATCTAAGTACCCCATGAGATCGTAGCCATGAAGTAGACTGGTAAAGGTAGCGCTCCATGATGGATAATTGGAGGAAGTAAGGCGTTGTAATTGATTAGTGTTTATGGCAATAAGGGAGCTATTTTTATCAGAGAGAGACCCGCTAGTTGGGTGAGAGACAACGGGCTGACTGGAGGGGGAAGAGTCACCTGATGATGCCATAGCAGCAGAAGTTCGGATCGAGATTCTCGTTAGAGGGAATGCTCTGATACCATAAAAGTGTTTTTAATATATTATTGTCTCGCACAATTACAATACAAACTGGCTGAGATATTTATACAGTTTAGGAATGATGATATACAAAGTAAAATGAGCTATACAAAGAGGATGCATAATTTATGGGATAGATGTGCTTGAATCATGTAAATCGTGTGCTTAACTCATGGAATTTGCTTGGAGAAGATTTCTCTTGACTGCTGAAATTATGATCTCTGATTGGAGTGACTGGTGCACTATTACGCCCCCGAAAACTACAGACCACTTCGGCTAGCAACTCCCCTTGGGTTGCCTCATAAGCAGCGCCTTTGTTTATTATTGTTAGCTCGACCTAATGTTTGTTTCTTTAACCTGCATTCAGCCAGGGCGTTGTCAACCTTCGTCGCATTTCACCAAACTCATTGGAAGTAGTCACTGGTAGTGTCCCATAATCCTGAAAATCATCAAAAGCAGCACAAATGTCAGCATATTTCCCATTATCATACCCTGCAGGAATTTCAGAGTTTAAAAGGAAAGAATTTAAAGGGTCGGGATCAATAAGCGTATGTGTTTCCTCCTCAACGAGTGCATCAATCATGTATAGTTGATGACACTTATCATCTTCCTCAGCTTCCTTCATGATGTGAAAGATATTGACGTCTAGGGTCATGTTCCCAAATGATAGTTTCATTAGACCATTCCTGCAATTGATAAGAGCATTAATTGTGGCAAGAAAAGGTCTACCTAGACTAATGGGAATCTTGGAGTTAACTTTCACATCTTCTTTTAAATTCAAAACCAAGAAATCAACGGGGTAACAAAATTTATCAATTTGTACTAGCACATCCTCGACTACACCCTTTGGTCGTATTGTGGATCGATCAGCTAATTGTAAACTTACGGATGTAGGTTTTATTTCTCCTAGGCCTAATGACAAGTAAATAGAGTAAGGCATGATGTTAACACTAGCCCCTAGGTTAAGAAGGGCTTATGAAATCTCATGATTCCCAATAACACAAGAAACGGTAGGACAACCAGGATCCTTATACTTTGGAGGGATCCTTTGCTCAATTACAGCGCTTACATGCTCAGTCAAGAAAGCAGTTTTCTTGACATGGTATTTCCTCTTCATAGTGTATAAGTCTTTTAGGACTTTAGCATACGTGGGAACCTGGGAGATCACATGTAAAAGAGGTAAATTGATCTTTACTTGTTTAAGGTGCTCTAAGATTTCACTATGTTGACCAATAGATTTCGAGGTGGATTTAAGAGATTGAGGAAAGGGTACTTGCGGTGGATTTTTCACTACCTCCTCGCTAGAGGTACTCTCTTCTGAATTGCTAGAGTCCTTTTCATCTTCCCTAGGTTTGGAGGTTGGTTCAATAACCTTACCGGACCGAGTGGTTATGGCATTAACTTCCTTAATGTTGTTTTCTCTTGAGCCAGAGGTTTGTGCCATATGTTGTCCCTTAGGGTTTGGTTGAGCCTGTGATGGAAATTTTCCCTGCTCAACTACATTTAAGGCATTGGTTAATTTGGACATATGAGTTTTGATTTCCTTGTTTTCCTCAACAATTTGGGTAATCATAGTCTCAAACTTCTGATTGGTTTTACTTTGTACCTCTATGAATGCATATAGGGTGCCTTCCAAAGAGTTTCTAGATAATGTGGTTTGATATGGAGGTGTAGTGTAGGCTCTATTGGATTGGGCAGGTTGCTGATTTTTAGATTTCCAGCTGAGATTGGGGTGACTCCGCCACCCTGAATTATAGGTTTCGGAGTAGGGAGTATAAGGCTTTTGATATATGCCTAAGGCATTACAATGTTTCTCATAAAGTCCCCTCATCTCAGCATAGGTAGCACAATCTTATGGTACGTGATCACTCCCTCCACACACAAAACAAAGCTCTGAAGACTCAATACGGGAAACAGGTTGTGCAGATTTAGAGCCTTTAGCACGCAAGGTTTCAGGTTCCTTAGTGAGGGCTTCCACTTTGGCCTTAAGACTATCTTCTTTCCTAAGTTGATAGATACCTGTACTAGTGGGGTTTCCTGTAGGTCGTGACCTATTGGTACTATCAGTAGGGCTAGATCCAGTCCAAGTACTCCAGAAACAACCTTTCTAGATGTTATAATCGGTCAGAGTGCCCATCTTCAAGTTGCTTGCCTACGAAAATTGAACGCTGTTGGTTTGGTGGAATTCCTTAAAAACATTGTTTTAGAAAAATACTTTTCACTAAATTAAATTAATCAAATCTTTGTTTTTAGCCATATTAAAGTGGTACGCCTATGTTACTATTACTTGATTTCGATGTCATAAAATTGGACTAGATCTCAGCATAACTTACCTTCTTTGTCTTGAATCTGGCCTTGACATTGTCGATGGTGTCACTCGACAACATTAATTTTGGCAAAACTTCTCAAAGAAGATGCATCTTCATACACCGAACAAGACAGTGATGTTGAGAAATTAGCTGCGGTTGATGCATGGAAACATTCTGATTTTCTATACAGAAATTATGTACTCAATGGACTGGATAACACACTATATAATTTGTACTGCAATGCGAAGTCTGCAAAAGAACTGTGGGAATCTTTGGATACCAAGTGCAACAAGCCCCGACGTAAGCCCATATGTCAATATTGTGATGATATTAGATACATTGCTAAATATTGTCCAAAACTACAGACCGCTTCGGCTAATTGTGTTGGCCGCTCCAAAGAGAAATCTACAAAATGGTTGCCAGACTCTGGTAACTCTCATAACATTACCTCGGAGCTTGGTAATTTATCCATCCATTCCGAGTATGATGGCACTGATGCTGTGGTAATTGGTGATGGTTCAGGTTTATCCGTTACTCATATTAGCTCCCTTATTTTACATTCGCCTACTCATAATTTTAAACTCAATGACACATTATGTTTTCTGGACATTCATAAAATCTCATCTCTGTGCATCAATTCACCAAAAAAATGTATTAATTGAGTTTCATCCTAATTATTTTTTGGTGAAGGATCGGACAACGGGGGCGATTCTACTTTGAGGAAGGTGTGAACAAGGCATTTACCCATTACCTACTACACTACCAGACCCGCTCATTCCCATTGTAGCCAATGTTAGTGAGAAAATCTCTAGTGTCATTTGGCATCGTCGTCTGGAGCATCCTCACCACCGCCTAGTCTCTAAAATAATTTCACAGCATTCTCTTCCTTTAAGTACTCCAATTATGTCACAAGTTTATCATCCTTGTCATATTAATAAAAGTCATCAATTGCCTTTTCATTCTAGTACTATTCATACAACTCTTCCATTTGAATATATTTATTCTGATGTTTGGGGACCGGCATCTGTCCCATCTCACGAGGGCCACAAATACTATGTTATATTCATTGATCATTTCACACGTTATTGTTGGTTCTTTCACATGCATCAAAAATCAGAAGTTGGTAAAATCTTCCCCCAATCCTCCTGGAAAAGCAATTCGGTCGACCCATTAAAAATTTGTACAGTGACAATGGTGGTGAATATATAGGACTTAAACCTTGTCTCCAGGCCCATGGAATAGGTTACTATACAACACACCCCACACTCCACAACATAATGGCCTTTCCGAAAGAAGACATCGACACATTGTTGAGATCGGTCAAACCCTCCTTACCCAAGCCCACATACCTACCAAATATTGGGCTGTTGCATTTCAAACTACAGTTTATCTTATCAATCGCCTCCCCATCGCACAAGGCCATAAGCCACCTTTCACTCGTCTATTTGGTACAATACTTAATTACCTAAAACTAAGGACCTTTGTCTGTTTGTGTTTTCCTTGGCTGAAACCATATAACAATCATAAACTTGACCCAAAATCCAAACCATGCATCTTCATTGGATATTCTACTTCTCAAAGTGCCTACAAATGTCTTGATCTCACATCTAATCGTGTCTATATTACACGTCATGTCATGTTTGATGAATTAGTTTTCCCATACACCTCTCTTACTCCATCTATTCAACCCATGGATAAGTCCACTACTCACCTTGATCAATGGCCCATCATGCTACCAACATCATCTAGCCCAATCCAAAATGTGCCAGCCTCACCAGCTACGACTCAATCTAACTTCCATAGCCTGCCTGGTTCTTACCTTCTACGAGCAAAACCCGTGCTATCCTGTCTACCCACGGGTCCATCACCTACTGACCTATCTGGCATAACACCTACTACTACAGATGCTTCACTAGAGCCTATTGTCCCATCTGGTCCACTGCTACTTCGTACTCATCCAATGATCACGAGAGGCTTGAATAATATCCTAAAGCCCAAACGGATGTTCACTGCTACCAAACATCCAATGCCACAATCTATTGAACCTACATGTGTGGGACAAGCTCTGAAGGACTACCATTGGCGTCGGGCTATGAGTGATGAGTTCAATGCACTTGTTCGCCATGGGACTTGGGATCTTGTTCCTAATTCACTGACAGTCAAACCAATTGGATGCAAATGGGTATTTCGAATGAAACGACATCCTGATGGATCCATTGATCGTTATAAAGCCCGATTGGTGGCTAAAGGATTTCATTAAAGATCTGGCCTTGATTACAAGGAGACTTTTTCACCAGTTGTCAAACCTGCGACAATCCGGATTGTTCTCACCATTTCCCTTTCTCATGGTTGGGCACTTCGTCAATTGGATGTTAATAATGTCTTTCTCCATGGTACACTTGATGAAGATGTCTATATGGTTCAACCCACTGGCTTCATAGACTCTGACAAACCAAATTATGTCTGTAAACTTAGCCAGTCTCTCTATGGGCTCAAACAAGCCCCATGGGCTTGGTACACCACCCTCAGTGGCTATCTCCAGAAATTGGGGTTCTATCAGTCCAAATAAGATTCTTCCATATTCATTTATACTTGTGATGATATTGTGGCTTATTTTCTTATTTATGTTGATGATTTTATATTGACAGGCAATTTGACAGATTTCAATGAGTTCATCATTCAATCCTTGGGTTCCAAATTTTAGATTAAAGATTTGGTCCAGTTACATTATTTCTTGGGCGTTGAGGTATTACCTGTCAGTAATGGGTTGTTCTTAAGCCAACAAAATTATGTACGGGATCTCCTTTACAGAACAAATTTAGAAGGAGCAAAATCAGTTTGTACCCCGATAGCTACCACTGCTCATCTCCGCCTTGATGATGGCTCACCAGCCAGTGATGGTACTGAGTTCCGTCGAGTAATTGGGAGTCTTCAATATCTCTCCCTCACACGGCCAGATTTTGCCTTTCCTATCAATCATTTAGCCCAATTCATGCATCGACCAATAGAGCAACATTGGAATGCTGTCAAGCGACTCCCACGTTATCTCAAACAAACGGTGCAGCATGGTCTCCTACTCTCCAGGGATGATGGAAATGCACTTACTACTTATTCTAATGCCGATTGGGCTAGTAATGCTAATGATTGCACCTCCACACCTGCATTTATCGTTTTCTACGGGAACAATCCTGTCTCTTGGTGTACACGAAGCAACATGCGGTTGCACGTTCCTCAACTGAGGCAGAATATCGTGCTCTTGCAATAGCTACTTCTGAAATCACTTGGCTCATATCTCTCTTTAAAAAACAGGGCATTTATTTCACAAAGCCTCCTAAACTCCTCTGTGATAATGTTTGTACAACTTATTTAAGTGTCAACCCCGTGCATCACTCTTGGATGAAACACATTGCTATTGATTTACACTTTGTACGAGACTATGTCAACAAAGGCCTTCTTGAGGTTTCTCATGTCTCAACCAATGATCAACTAGCTGACTAGCTGACAAAGTCTCTTCCTCGCTCTCGATTTCAGCTACTAAGATCCAAAATTGGAATCTCTGACGGGGATTCCATCTTACGGGGGCGTAATAGTGCACCAGTCACTCCAATCAGAGATCATATTCCAGCAGTCAAGAGAAATCTTTTCTAAGCAAATTCCATGAGTTAAGCACACGGTTTACATGATTCAAGCACATCTATCCCATAAATCATGTATCCTCTTTGTATAGCTCATTTTACTTTGTATATCATCATTCCCAAATTGTATAAATACCTCAGGTAGTTTGTATTGTAATTGTGTGAGACAATAATATATTCAAAACACTTTTACTCCCAATCCTCCAATCTTTACTAAGTCAAAGCTTGAGCCATATAAGCATCTAACATGTCTTGAATAGCATGGCAAACTCTTCTTCTGCCATCTAGCGTCTTTTTGTCTGCTGATAAATTTTATTTATGGCGTCTACTCAGTGCCTTTTTTCATTAATGATAATTAATCCAGTTATCAGTAGTTTCTTTGCTAAATACTTCCAGGAACTTGGAGACGGTGTCCTATATAATGAAGTCTTTGGTCTGCCAACTATTAAGCTTGCTAATGCAGACTGATTTTTGTTTGGTTTCTTGTTTCTATATTTACCCTCTTCATATGATCCTGTGTTAGATTTCTTTTAAGATGAACTGTTTTGGGATTTAGTATCACAGTTTTGGCAGGAGACCGCCCCAAGTGATAAATGCCATTTCAGTATATTTGGAATTTTTATCAAAAAACAAGGCTTACGTATTCTGTATTGAACTATTATTTGAAATATGGTACATATAAATTTCTCTTGTAGTGTTTTTGGGTGTTTAGGACTTCTAGTAGATAGTGATTTCTCTAGCTATTTTATGTTCATAATTCATATCTTTGTCTATCCACCTCTTACGAAAGCTTAAACTATTAGAGTGACAACCTTCAGCATTATTTGTTTAAATTGTATCTTCAACATGCGCCCTTGCATGTAGGCTACATTCATTTTTTTGCCCCC